AACTGCTAATTTTTATTATTTTCTTTCAATATTGTGACGATCGCATATATAATTACTATTTTTTTTTTCACGTTTTTCGTTAAATTATTATGTTTAAACTTGTCTCATACAAATCTACTATAATGTAGATGTTAGTAAGTATTAAATTCATTTGACTAACGTCTAAAGTGTGAAAAAAAAAATCTCGGGCGTTTATAATAGGTATAAAAATTGTGAGTGATAACTAACATATCCAATACAATTGATGTAAAACTAACAATATAATACTATATAAAAATTAATTTTGGTATGTATTAGTTTTTTTTTTTTCGTATGAATATATTTGAAAATATATTAACAAACCAACTGTTTTTATTTTTATTTATTGAAACGTTTGAGGTACTGAGATGAACTCTCAATTCTCCTATGATTCAAATTTGCCGCGGTAAAAGCGATAAAACCATCACGTAAAAATTGAAGGGTGCACATGAATGAATCATAAAATTTCAATAATAGAAACATGGTAAAATTCTTGCGTAGCTATTTCTAGATCTTAGCTTAGCCATCAAGTCGACTTTTCCTATTTTCTTTATTGATTTTAGTTTACATATTTTATTCATTCATGTACATTAATTGTAATTAGTTTAGATTTAATTTTTGGGGAGAAGGGCTAACGATATTCTTGCTCCCTCTCTATATTTATTCGTGAGGCGATCGCCCTCCTCGTTCCCATCGCCTCTAGCCCCCCCCCCCTCACCCTTCGAAGATTATTACTAACTTTAATGATATGTAGGTACTCTTTTAAAATTATAACATATATATAGAAATTTTATATATATATATATATATATATATATATATATATATATATATATATATAAGCATGTATCAAGAAAATATTTATAAAACGTCAATCCCCAAAAACATTATTATATATGTAATTTTTTTTTGTGCAGCTTTTTAAGTACCTCTTGAATATCGTTTTTATAGTTTCTTCCTATTTCTTCCAGGATAGTTATCGTTGTCATTAATCCTCTTCTCCATATTAAATCCTAAATCTGCTACTGAATAAATGTACCCTAAAAATTGCCTTTAATGCTTTTTGGCCATAAAAAAAATGTGGTGTTTTTTATCAGTAGCGAATTCAGGTTAATTTTTTATGGGCAGAGATTTTTTTATATAATTGCAATTACTTAGAAAGAAAAAGAGAGACGATATATGAAATGTTTAAGTGGTTTTGGACTACTTAAAAAAAAAAAATTAATTTAAAAAAAGGTAATTAGGAACAATACTTAATGCTTTTAGCAATAATATTTTTATATATTTTTCTTGAAAAATGCGGTGTCGACATCGAACCTTCCGGTTCGCTAAACCCTTTCTTATTATTATTATATATTGCGATTGTTTAAGTATTTAGCACAGTTCATTCATATAAAAAAATAAGGGCCTATTAAATCCCAATGTTTCTATATATCGATTTTTTTTTTTTTTTTTTTAGGAACCTTCATATTGGATATACGGGATGTTGAACTGTAATTAGATATCCGGAATACCTGATTTTAAAACTAATTCAAAGAGCCATATCTGTAACTGAGTAATGGAAAGATAATTGGAAGGGGAAAAAGGATGGCTGTAGTGGCTTGACTAAGTAAATCGCTTCTATTGAATTATTCATCTGGCTCGGGAATAATACTACTTGTTTATTGAATCATCAACTCAACATAATTATATATTAAAGAATAATATAAATATCACACCGTGTTTTTATTTTTATTTATCTGGTCAAAAATTAAATCTACAATACAGCATTAATAACAATAGTATATATATATATATATATATATATATATATATATATATATATATATATATATATATATATATATTATCAGCATATTAACAATAAAGCTTATTTTTAATAATCTGGCGCGGTGTGCGTGTTACACAATTTTCACTTACCACCACGGGCGGATCTATAATGGTAAAATATAACCCCTCTAAAATGGTAAAATATAACCATGTTTTATCGAAAAAAATATTAAAAAATTAACTCTTAAATCATAATTATGCGTGGAGTTACATTTAAAAGGGCTTTAGAAATCACTTAAACACCAGTTCATAAAGGTAGTTAGTTGTTTTCTTATTTTCCAAAATAATTATCGTTATTTTTATGAAAAAAAAAAGCTTTCAGGCTGAAGCCCACCCCCCAAAATTAAATCCTGGATCTGCTAGTGCTTACCACTCTCTTAGCAGAAATAAGTACTTTCAGACAAAGGGGAAGTGAAAATAAACATTATATTGATTTATATTTTATTGTGGGTATTTTTATTTTTACAAGTACCCTTACATATACAAATTTTAATATTTATATCGCTGTAATCTATACAATTAAATATTAAATAATACCAATGATAGCATCTATGAAAACCGCTTATGTATATTTACATAATATTGTCGTAGTCCTTATTATATTAAGCTCATTTTACTTATGAAAGCTTGTTCTAATCTTTCGGGCGAGCTCGGGTGCGTTCATATTCCATTGGTTCCTCATTTACAACTCTCAATTACATGAACGAAATTCAGCTCTTTCCTTTTTAAACTGATTGAATCACCGATAGCTCAGTACTTCCATTGGCTCTTAGGATGATGGATCCGCAGGATGTAACCTCATTATAGCCGCATTGTTGTTATTTCTCAATTTCTTTACATATTTATACTAAGTTTACTTTCTTTCTATATTTATTTGTGTACCTAGGCATTTTCTTAAAATAATACAAAAATATACCTATTTTCTGTGTGTTTTGTAACCTTGCACTGGAATCAATCAGGCCATTCCTAAACTCAGCGTAAATAGCTGTATATCACTAATGGATTTAATCAATTAATCAAATAAAATTTTTCATTAGCATTAGCACTGATTTTAGAAATTTTTCCAATCAATTTTCGTTCAAAATAATAAATTAAAACACCAGTTCAAATCACAATTGTCTCTGCTAAAACTGGTCTGATTTCCACTTTTTTTTTTGTTTTCATTTTGCAAGGAATTTGGAAACCTTTCTAATTATCATTGGTATTATCTATATAATCATTGAATTATGCGAAAATAATGTTTTCTTTTCTTCATAACATTTTATCCTAACTTAAAGGGATATGATAATTTTTCCCACTTAGGGGATAATCTTTAAGGAGAAGATAACCATTGAAATGATGGTTCAATCATTTGATTTGATGAAGAATTAACAAAGATATGGTGTACATACAGATAAGGAACTTCAGCCCGAAAGCTTTTAAATGGAGGGCCCTGTACATTCTGAATTTGTTTCTTTCTTTAAAAAAAAAAAACGATAAGGAGCATATGCAGGAATAAATAGCATATTTATCAAGATGTTAGATTATAATTGGGAAAATCCAAACTCGTACATGTCAAGGAGTGATTTTGTTTTTTATCTACATTTTAAGGCGTGTTTAGACATTTCACAAACTATGGGAAACACAAATATTTAAATGGGTTTTCTCTTGTTTTTGATGTTCTCCATTTGTTGTTGGAAACAAAAGAAGTTTTAAAAAAGTATGGCTTAGCCTTAATATTGCTGTTAGTTAAATTAGATAATTGTGTTTCCGATAAGTTTGTGAAATGCCTAAACATACCTTTAGAGAAACAAGGCTGTGTAGTTGAACTTTCCAATTATAAACTAACATAAAATTTCTGTCTCTTGTTAAGATTTTTATTCGTTTATTTGATCTGATAAGATGGTAAAGTATTAATCAAGTCATAAGGTTGTCTTAATTTAATATTGCACTCCTGTAAAATAGACTAAGGCTCATAGTAATAACAATACACATTTTACTTTTTAATTCCATCTTCATTTTCAGTCAGTAATAAAATAGATATAACAAGAATAATTATTAACATTGATGAATATGTTTTAACAAATATAAAAATAAATGAAGACAAAAGTATCCTCATAGTTTTAATATTCTTCAAGGCTTTAAAAGCTCTTTATTATAAAATAATTTTTAAACTATATGGAGATATTTCAATTACAGACTTTTACAAAGCTAGTATAATATTATCTGAAATAAATGTCATGGGTAAAATTTGGATAAATTTCATATCATCTTCACAGCCAAATAATAACTAAAAATTAAATATAATAAATGATAATCCAAATTATAATAACAGTTTTGTAAATAAATAACAATTTCTAATAACCAATATATTTCACAAGAACTTGATTATTTTTTTTCAGAATCACAATAAAATAAAATTATATAATTAAAAACAATACTATATAAGTGAAGTTTAAAAATAATAATAATAATATTTTTAACAATTCGCAAACAAATACAACAAATATTTTATTTAACATTTAGCTGCGGTTACGGTCCCCCGCGTTTATCAGATATAATGATTATTTATGTTTGTATCTATCTATACATCTATTCAACTTCCATTTAAATATTTTTAAAAATGACCATTTTAGATACTTCGTTAGACAGGTGAAATTCGAAACAATCCTGCCCGAAGTCGAGACGAATATCGCAATCAGGGAACCGTAACTGCAGCTAACGTGTTAATGTATAATATGAATTAAAACTAATTTATCCGAAATGTCAATAACACCAAACACTTCTGTTGTAAACATTCACAGTCATAATATTGACTGAGTACACAACTTATTATTTCTATTCCATTTAATGATTAAGAATTATATTTTTTTTAAATTGCCAAAAATTAAAAAGTAACAATTTAGTAAAAATGGATAAATATGATGTGTGCTTGAACAATATTGATCATTTATATCTATTAAAATATTGATTATTATATTTATTACAAAAATATATTTATTATTTTTTCTTCTTGTAAAAAATTATTTTTTATCTATCAATTAACCTTTTTTTAAAATATTGAAGGTAAATTTTTAAAACTACCTTAAAATTAAAATTTGTTTGAGATAATCATTCCAATGCTTTTAAATTAAAAAAAAAAAAATTCTAATATTAATATATTTTCTCTAAAAAGTTTTCGAAGAACAAAGAAGCTTAGAAATCTAATGGCTGTATTCCAGGTATTTTGTGATAATTTCTTTTCCATTATAATTTTTGTTTCTTCACTACCAAAGGTAGGGAAGCATTGTATTCATGTGAGAGGTTAAAAAAAGATTTGTGCTCAGAATCGAAAATTTCCACTCGAGTTTTGGTCAGACATCAAGAATCAATTTCGGTTTGGTGTCTGTCTGTATTCAAATCGATGTATTGATCTTATGGAATGCATTATAATTCTGAACAACTTATTATTATTTGAACATTTCTTACCAACTCAAAATAGTATATATTAGGCTCTTGTATAAGTTCTCACTGTTTCCTAACAGAAGATATACCTTTAATTTCAGATGGTAATACAGTTTTCTAAAAACTACTGTCCGTAAACTTGGACTTCAGTGTATATTAGTTGTACATTGGAAACTTTTTTTTCATAATTCTAAAAATGTCAAGTTTTATTCTAAGTAAAGAATATTTGTAATGAATTTCATTGCAATGTTTCAAAAGAAATCCTGCCCAAGCAAAATCTATGTTCCACTAGGACGCTACAAATTGATTTTGTTATCTAAATCCACTCCAACTTTTAATCAAACCAAAAGTAACTAACAATATTCGAATTGTTTTTGTTATAGTTTGCTCATAGAAGCAAGCTTGTCGATGATCTTATTCGCTTCATCGTAATACGGACTTGTTTCAGATTTTACAGAAGCCATATAAGCCGCTAATCTCGGTCTTCCTTGACGAGGATCAAAGCCACATAATTCTGAAATAAAAATTTTAAAAACATTAGCCAAGCTTTTATGGTTTCATGCTAATTTAATAGGATATGGCAATTACAAAAAAAATTACTACAACATAATAATCATCATAAAATTCCTACAAAAACTTCTCTCTGTAGTCCTACTTACACATACTTCAAATTTTCCACTACAATTGATATTCATTAGTGAATCTATAATCTTCAACGTATTCCTTAAGGCAGAATATTAGGTCCTGTCCTTTATATCGTCATAACCACTAATATCGCTGTCAATCCCAATACCTTCCAGACAACCTTTGCTTTTCTCCATCATTGAACGATGCTATTTTAATTGGCACATCCAGATGCAAACGAATCACCTTCACTCTTCAAGGAGATACTGCCCATCAGTTCATCTTAACTCAATACCACTTTCATTTTCTGACATAGTCTGGTATCTAAACTTCCTCTTCGAAGACTAACGGATGGGATTTATGTAGCAGACTTAAAAATACCAGAGCTGAATAAACGATATGGCCAATTATATAGATTGCTAAATAGAAAATTTCTGAACCTATGGGTTTGAACTGTGGAGGATATATTTCTACAAAAAAAAAAAATCATCAAAATCAGGACCAAGTTACTAAGTCCTGTCATAAATATTGTTACGAGGAAATATATACAGATTTCGACAGAAAAATTAATTTTTTCAAAAACTATTAGAAAATAAAATGTATATCCAGACAGAGTAAAACAAAAATTAAATTACTCAAAATGTCTCTCTTTTGCCTAGACACAAGGCATTTAATCTACGTGGCCAGTCAGCAATAGCAGAACGCAGCACTTCTTGAAGAAAGCGCTCAACTGCTCGGACCAGAGATTGTTTGTGGCTTTCCAAGTTAGGGTGTACTCTGTGGCACGCCATCCTCTCCAGTTCGGAACAATCGCATAATCTAGTGGGTTGAGATCAGGCCTTCCAGAGGGCCAATCTGAGGCAGAGATGAACTCTGGAATGTTCTTTTGGAGCCACTGCTGAGTTGACCTTGTGAGCTGGAGGGAAATCCTGCTGGAAAACCCAATGACTTTCAGCAAACAGAGTATCATTTAGAGGCTAGACAACAGGTTCCAAAATATCGTCCTGATAGTTTTTAGCGGCTGTTTTAACTCCTTTTTCACAAAAATGGAGCTTTGTGGTGCTATCAAAACAAACTCCACACCAAACCATCACTGAAGAAGGGTGATGACCTCTTTCCACTCTTCAAATGACTTCCTGGGCTTTTTTAGAGCGATGTGCGTACACACAATTATTTTGGCGATTAAATTTTTCTTCAATTGTAAAAATTTTCTCATCGCTAAACAAAATCTTTTGATGAAGGCCATTGGCGTAACGGCCAAGAACCACTTTGCATCTATCCATTCTAATTTTTTTTAGGAATGTGGTAAGCCTTTATCCTGTCATTTTTCAAAATGCATCCATCCTAAGGTCACTTTTTATTATACGAGATAATGATCTGACAGAGATTCCCATTTCAATCAAGTAGCCACTGCTCTCACTGCATTTGCCGTTCTCACAGTATGGGGATGGCCCAGGTCGAGGTCTGTCACATACAAATAGGGTCTCATTATATCTATTTATAGTGCGATACACAAACATATGGCTGATGCCTAAAGATTTCAAAGTGTTGAAAATCTCTGACCTACATTTTCTAACTTTGTGTAAGGCGATCACAGCTATTTGGTTTTCTTTATCACTCCACTCCAAGTTAACTGAGCGAACGAAAAATACAAACTAATTGGGATTATTATCTTGACATGTATAGAAAATAACCAGATAGAGTTAAGAATTATCTAAATAATACCCAAGGAAGTAAACAAAGTTCAAATTTTGTAACAGTATTTATGGCAGAATAAGGTAGATCCAATTTCACCATACCACCTATTTCTTCTTGAACCACTGTACCCCCTTAGGTTTAAAATAAATAAATAACTAAAATAATAAAAATCGTAATTTACTTGGCTGTTCTAACTCCATCACAGCAAGAAGATCAGCAATAGTCAAATGGTTTCCAAAAAGAAATTTTTTATTATGATTCAACCAGAAAGTTTCCATCAGATCACAGCTGTCTAACATTAAGGGTTGGAATCTTTCTATTTCACTTTCCAAAGGTTTCTCTCCAGTTAACCTTGGTTCCAACCACTAAAAAAGAAGATTCAACATATTATCAATCAAATTAAAGCTATAAAAAATTATTATAACTCTACAAGTGAAAATTGAAAATTCATGCAAATACTTAATAACTCGCTCCCTTTAGCTCAGCAGTACTTTTGATCATTATTTCATCCTACTCTACATTTGATTCTGCCAGCTCTGGATGTTCTACTTTTATATTACCCAAATGATGGTGTGAAATTATTTTTTGACAGGATCTATGGTTATGGGTTTTGGGTACAAATCTTGATTGTTTACATTAAGGCACAAACAACTTAAGCTTTTTGAAAGTAAAGCTTTTCATAGAATATTAGAATCTGAGAAGGATAAATAATAATATAAGCCACACTACAAAATCCTGTAATAACAAAAACTAAAAATGTTCAGGAGATGAAAAAAACAGCTAATTTTTGTAGCATTATATTTTTGGGCCTAAAACAAAGATGTAATGCTCCATGTAACCGTATTTCTGCCAAATAAACTTTTAGAGCCATTACGTCTAACTTTTAGCTTTTTAGTTACTTTGAAAAACAGGTATTAGTTAGATAAAAGTAATCTAATTTATTTTAGTAACACCCATAACTTTATTAATTATGATCAAATCATGACAAGAACAAACTCAGTTTCCAAAATGTAGAGAAATGATACTTCAAATGAAAATTAGTAAAACATTTGACTGAAAAGGACGAAACATGAGTTATTCACTTTTTTGTCTCCCGCTGTAGGGGTGGTTCAAACATTGTGCATGCGTCCTATTTTAGAGTAGTCGATGAAAGTTTCGTTTTTAACATACTCAACTTCATATGGACATGGTTTGATCCACAAATGCTTCATCAATTCTAGGTAAGCTACTGACGTATAGATCACTTCTTGCGATTTTGAAGATTCATTGGTTTGAAAAGATGAAAGTAGAGTTCTTTATTCGTTAAGTATTAAATTTCTCAATTAATGAAATCTATTCTCTGTCTCTCATTATCTGGAATTTGGCAGCATTGTAGCTTTTTTTCCAATGAAACCTATATTGCAGTTTCCAGGAGGTATCGATTGTTATGGAGGCCGTTCCATAATATATTCCCACTTACAAGTCTCTTCTTTGCTTCGAGTTCCAAGGCCGACCTGAAGGCAAGAGAATCCTGGCATTCGCCCAGAGACACCAGGCTGGAAATGCCCGCAACTTATTAGAAATTTAAAAAATAACACTAAGGAAAAATTAATTTTAGCCTATTAATAGAGCTAATTGATACTGCAGTCTATGCGCAAAATGCTTTATACATTCTATATTTACATGACTACCGTTCATTGAGTATTTTGTTATGTTTTTTCGGTAATGAAACAACCTCCAGCACCTTCACTATAACTTAATAAATAAATTAAAAACTTACAGTTTTTTATATAACAATTTGCTGGTTTTTAAATTACAGGTTTTTGCAAAAGGCCATAGAGCAGAAATGAAACACCATAGATTTCATTTTGCGAGATCAGAATATGTGCCAGGACAAGCTTGATCAGAAAAGCTCGAAACTTCATTTTCCAAAGAAATTGTCCTTACAGGCTCTTGCAGTGATGGCTGTCGATATTATCATGATAAATGACAAAATTTAATTTTAACCACCATCACGTCGTGCACATAGGTGATGAGAAAAGAGTGACATGCTTTAAGGATTGTGTTTGTTATATTGTGAAGAGTCGGAAGCTCAATAGGTACCTGCCAGATAAGATCCAAATATTGCACCCCTTTGGCTGTAATCATGTATAGAAGATAATGGAAAAAACGGTTTCAGCCTTCTAATTATTTCGTCAAACAATGTTACTGAAACCATGGTTTTTAATTGTCAAAACCTTTTCAGCTGAATAATAGAAAATTATTCAGAAATTAAAAAGAGAAAATGCAGAAACTTTATACCATAGTAATATTATAATGGTTAATAGTTTTTTTAAAAAAGAATTCTGTTGTTTCTAGTTTTATTTTTCATAAATTGCAATTTGAATCAAATAAGTATAAAAAAAAAAAAAAGAATATATTTTTATAAACAAGAAATAAAAAAGATGTAGTACTTTAAGCTTGAAGTAGAATGCACACGGTAGTCGTAAACCAATATGTTGCCATTCAATAAATTCATCCAATTTGGCTTGCGCTTTACTTTCTTTAGGATACCAGTGGTCAGGAATACCCTTTTCACGGCACAGATACCGAAGAATACCAACACTGTAAAAAAAAATAAAAATAAAAGAAATTATGTTTATACCTAAGAAATAAGGAGTATATTCTCACAGCCACCAGCAAAATTTATATAATCTGGACAATTATATTTCTCAATTGCTTACAGAGCAAAGGGGCTTTTGTACCAAGTAGCGCAGGCTTAGAAAAGATGTTGACCTCCTATCAGATGTGACTACCAAAAACTGCTTAGAAAATATTCAAGAAAATCAATTTACTGTTTCATTGGTAACATTCAATTTTGATCCGTAATCGCTCAAAAGTGAAGTAGGAATAAAATAAAATAATAAAAAATTCTCTAGAGCAGATTAACAACTAAACAACAAAAACACATACTTCATTATACTTCGAAAACTGTTGAACTTCGAAAACTGAAGCAGATGACACAACACTTATTTCAAGAAACGTTACATCTGTGGAAAAAAATGAATGTTAAGTATGCTTCTGAAAGGACAATTATGAAAAGAAAACATTGACTACTTTTAGTTGCGAATCCACCATATTATTGTCCAGTGAGATAAATGTGATCGAAATTTTGAAATGTGACCCATTACAAAAACTAATTCACTAAATTTCACCATCAAAGCAACGCAGTTTGTAGTGATAGTTTCTTTTAATTTTTTTTTTTTTTTTGTCCTTACCTTTCTCGAACTATGAATCCATTATCATCAATGACAGGAACTTGACCAATGGGATTTATTTTCAGAAACTCTTCAGATTTGTGTCCCACTGTAAAAAATAATAGCATTTATTATTTTATATAATAAATTAAAATTAACAATTAAATTTTACTTACATTTTCCCAGTATCGTAGGTTTTGATTCAAACTTAATTCCAGTTACTTTTAAAAACACATAAATCGCACGAGAAGGCTGAGACATTAAATCATAATAAAACTTCAAAGACATGTTTAACAGGATCTGATTGGTTTCAAACTAAAACAAATTAACTAGTCCTGGACTGAATGCCCAACTGATAAGGTTCAAATGATAAGATAGTAATACAAGTATTACAACGGTAGTATTACAAGCAGGATAAGAAGATATTGATATAATCAGGATGAGAAGATAGTAATAATACAAATCATTCTTGGATTATTGACCCTAGAGTGAAGTTCAAAAGATAAGATAGTAACACAAGTAGGTATAGTGCCTTTGGCCAGAGAAGTACCTGAGTTTAAAGTACAAAAGGTAAAATAATAATAAGGCTATTCTTCATATTATATGACAAATCTGTTCTCGCCCAAACATCGCTACACAAATCAGGGAAGCAATGCATTCAAGCAGGAAAGTGGTGTCCCCTCCTCCCAAGATATTTTATTGCTCTTCTCTTCTTACAAACAGTGCAAGTGATAACATAATTTAAAAACTCGTTAATCGCATACAATTACGATTGCTCTGATCTGTTTCATGTTTTCTCCTTGTCCCTTAGTTTGAAAATTTCGATTTCGAACAAATGTACCCCTCGAAAATATGTCAAAACATACCCCTCTTAAAAATTTGAAGAATCCTGAAACACCTTCTGGGCACCACTGATGCAGGACATGAAAAAAATTTTGTTCCCTAAATCAATTATTTACATTCAGGTTTTACATCCATGAAGATATTTTCTTCCGTATCTGAAGACAAATCCACTTGCTTAAGTGGATTGAAAAAAATGTTGTTCTCTAAATCAATTATTTACATTCAGATTTTACATCCATGAAGATATTTTCTTCCGTATCTGTAGACAAATCCACTTGCTTACCCACGTCATTCGACAGGCATATCACCTTCTACTATACATATACCTATCTATCCAAATTTGATAAAATTTCAACTGATTGTGCAAATTAGTTTCTAGATCAGTGGTTTTCTACCGCTGTTCTACGGAACACTAGTAGTTTATTAATATATTTCAAATGTATATAGAACTCGTCAATCTCAACCATGGACATTGTAGGGTACCTAGACTTTTTATATTGGAAGCAATGGGATAAAGTCCTTTCGATCCTTGTTCATTTCAGTTTTCTTCTGTAGAAAGTAACCCCTTCAGTAATGGAGTTCAATTATCGGATCGCGTGTGGTTCGTTAATAAGTGTTTGTTTATTACGACAAAAAAGTTTAATTTATATCGATGTACTATTTTGAAAATTAGAATCAGCTTTTGAGATTTAGTAACTGATTAAAGTCCTTTAGGTTCTTCTAAAGTTCAAATAAAATCTGGGAAGCTTGCTTAATATAAAAATAAGAGCGTATTTACAAATTCCAGACGTATTAGTAAAATTTTCAGGCACACATAAATAGTTAAGCGGCCATTGGAGGCATGGACACAGACGGATATACAGTGATGGCTTTGAATATATATATATATATATATATATATATATATATATATATATATATATATATAAAACCATGTTTTATATCAACAATTTAACAATAAAAGTATTATTGTTCGTGTTATTACATTTCAAATAGGTCTTCAAGAATCACTTAAACACCACTCCATATAGGTAGTTAGTTTCTTTGTTTTTCTTCCCAAGTAATGATCGTTATGTACATTTAAAAAAAAAAGTTTTAGGACTGAAGCCTTTCCAGAATTAAGTTCTGGATCCGCTATTGGACATGGGCACCTCCCGATCTTCAGAAGCCATTGAGACGAGTAAATCCATTTTAACGAAAATTAAATACACCAGTCGACCAAGAAACCTAACCAATAAAGGCAGGAGAGATCAAGAAGTATTGTATTGATTGTCCTACAAACAAAGCCAACACAAAAGTAGAGTTCAACGTAGACTACAATAAATGAGATAGGAAAGAACCCGATGGATAAAAAAATTAACGGTCTGCCATCACCAAAAGAAATAGTGGTAAATGCCTCTACAGTTTGCGCAACTAAGGCAGGCTCCATCTTCGTTGCCATGAATGGTAGAGCTATTGCAACCTAGGAAAAGCTGTGGACTTCAAGTCGAGTGTCGCATGTTATATCAGGTGGTATAATACAGCGACTACGCTAATTCCATCTATCTGAAAAATTATATTTAAAAAAGCGTACCTGCCATTGAAATGTTCACAGCTAGAGACGTGATAATATACCCAGATACCAACTTCTAAAACACGGTCTTGCCATCAAATGGAACGAATAGAATGGACGTTCAGCTCGAATTATTTATTAATAGGAACAAGTTATCGGTGTTAAACGATCCCTCAGTCATTCAAACGGTTTCTGGTACAAGGAAGTAATGGACGTGACGCTAATATCCCCAAAGATAATAAACCGTATCATTAATTGGATCCTTCGATATCAGACGAGTTTGGCCTATTTTAAGTGATATCTTTTAGACTGTTGGAAATTCAGTCATCTCTCACGGTAACGATATAATTAAAATTCGATAGTACATATGCACTAACATCAGGAGACCAGAAAGATAACCTGGTGTGATCCCGCTGATATATCGAGGAGAGGGTAGAGAGAAATGCTATAGTTTGCTTGTTTGAAATATCCTCAGCCTTTGATTATGTTTGATGCACCAGCGTACTCATCTAGTTACACAAGTATGAGACTTATAGTTATTTAAATGAACTTTTGAGTAGTTCCGTAGTATCTGGGACCAGATGTTTAAAAAACAGAGTAGCTTATTAGAAGCGTAGATCGCTGTGGAAAGTGGTTTTCTTCAGGTTTCTGTCCTTGGTCTCTTCTTAATTGTGAAAATAGGTTTTCAGCAAGCTGTTGGAAGTTTTGTTAGAGGGGGGTCCCCACCGTAGCTTATGTCAATGATCTGGCCTCAAACAATATAGCCAGTTTTATTTTAATTTGAAGCTGGGAGAAACTAGTTAAGGGTGGTCACTTCCAAAACTGAGGTCATCTTTATAAGAGACACGATTTATAGGGCTCACACTGTTACAAAGGTTAGCAGTGATTGAGTAACCAGACCATGCAAAACAATGTCGCATGAGTTGGTACAGATCTTACCAGAGATAAGCCTCTTGACATTTTCTGTCAGAAGACTACTTCTAGAACATTATTATTATGAAAGATTATCTGGAGAATCTATCAGAAAACCTCCCAGTGAGAATAAAAGATAGAAGATGATACAGTAGAAGAATGAAAGAGGCGGTGGTTGAACATTCCAAAAAGCGTTACTCAGGAAAAAGTACTTTCCCACCATTGCATTATAACAAGAAGAAACATAGATCCTTTCGGATTACTGGACCTTACACATTTTTATGAGGGGTTGCTAAAAAAGCGGATCATTAAACATGGTAAAAATATTGATGACCTCGGGCTAAGTTTTGAGCTTCCAGAGATTGATGAGCATATTGAACAAACCAGTACAATATGGAATGATTTAGTTCAGCTTTTGGTCAAATGTAATTCCTAAAAGCCTTATAGATGTGACATCTGTTACTATTCAGATATCATAAGTAATGAACAAATGGCTGCACATCAGCCAAAAAAGTATCTGGTGTGTCCACTCACACTACTTTCCTACCTATTTCAGAAAAGTTTTAATATCTATACATATGTCCATGAAGAAACAAAAAAGAATTGAACTAGATTTATTTTCCTGAAAATTGTTCAAACAAAAGATTTGAGCACGATTTATTTGGTAAACTAAAGCAATGTAAACCGGCTTAAGGTAGATCAGTGTAAAAATTTCAATACTTCCAAATATTGCTGATCAAAAACTTTTTGCCATAGCTTAGTATTGTCAAACAACAATTTCTGTTAAAAGTAGAGGAAATAGTGAAGATTGTGTGATGCGGGCAACAGATTTTCTTACTTTCACTAAGTCATCTTTATTCGCTCATTCATCCCTTTCTGACACCAGGATATGAACCCGTAATCTTACATTGGAAATTGAATGGCTGTAACTTCGTTAATAGTTGTCCAAACTATTTTTGGATGAACGATTACAATGAACGATTTTTATATGGCTTGGTAAATGGCTTAATTACAGACAGACAGACCAATGTCTAAAAATGTGTTTTTCGGACTCAGGAAGCTGTGAAACGTATAGTTCCTCGAAAACAGTATGTCGGAAATTTGACCCGATTGCAATACTTTCCTTACCTAATATAGGTAGGAAAATAATAAGTTAAAAAATGTGTAAAAAATAGAATAAGCTGTATTATCGCTAATACTGGTTCGATTCCGATCACTAGCGGATCCAGGATTTATTTTAGGGAGGGGCTTAAGCCCGAAAGTTGTTTTTTTCATAAACATAACGATAATTACTTTCGAAAAAAAGAAAGAAACTAACTACCTGTATGAAAGTGATTCCTAAAGCCCTTTTAAATGTAATTACACGAACAATAATACTTTAAGAGATACCTTTTTAATATTTTTTTCGAAAAAACATGGTTATATTTTACCATTTTGGAGGGGGCTTCAGCCCGAAAGCCCTCTCCCCCGTAGATCCGCCCGTGATTCCGATGATTTTTTTTTGTTTTGTTGGTAATTTAATTACCTTTCAAAAGTTGTATTATAAACTTAACCGTATAATATATACTTAGGGAGTTAGGCCCCATAACATTTTTCTTATCTTTATAACTTTTTTTCCTTTATTTTTTCGGAAATTTAGTCCATATACGAAAATTGAAAGAACAATGATTAGAACATTATAGGAAAGTTTCATCAAAATCGTTACGACTTTACACACGACTATTTATTATATACATAAACTATATAATGAACAAGAAATCACTTTTTTTCTGTACTAAAAATGTGTAAAGAAAAATTAAAGGAACAAAACAACAAATTACATGATGTAATCATACTTTTTAAGTTATATGTTATTTATTTTATTTTATTTTTTTGTTAGTGTTATACAATAAACAACTTAATTTGATTTTTTTTTTTTTTTTTTATTCCAGTGAACACTTATTGACTAGATAGATTTTAATTGTCATAGACTAGGTGGCATTATGTGGCAATTCGGTAGTTTTGCGTTTATTTCCTTTATACAGTCTTGTAACTTTTTAACACCATCTAGCTTTCCTATTTTTAGGGACATTAAATTCCTGAAAACATAAACTTTATTATTACTCAGAACTTGATTTGTGTTTCAATTAGTAATGCAATTCATAAACTACACATACGGCAGATGCGATAGATGGAGAAGACCTTGATCAGTTATTTCACCACATTCGTCGATCTCCAGATGAATTAGAGAGTTTTTTAATAGTTCGAGATTCTTCAAGCAAGTATTATCTATATACCAACATTTTTGAAATTTAATTTTCAAGATATGATCACATCCTTCTAAAAGATAAAAAACAAATAACTTCAAAATAAGAAAAAATATATTCCTAAAAGATTCGATTAAATTTAATTAATTAACTATACAGGATAATTAATATAGCAATAAAAACATGATTTTATGGTAATGTCTAATAACTGAGATAATAGAAATTCTATCAACAGTTTTGCTCATTTTTCTATTTTCTTAACAACTTTCTGTGAGATAGCTCAAAATTTGTTGAAAATAAATTTTTCTTTTTTTTTTAAATTATTTAAGTTGACAATCAATTTTCTTCCTGATCATTTTATGTGAGAAATGATTAGAAAGAAAAACTTTAGGAATTGGATACCAAGAATCTTTTTTAGTTTTTTCTCAGCTTTGCTTAATATATATTTTTTATGGGTGGTCTTAGAGCAGTTATATAAATTTTGGAGATAAAAATATAAATTAAAGGCACAAAGGCATAGGTAGCTTAAAATTAAATTTCTTTTAAGAACGAAAAATGATCAGGCAGTGCAGTAAAAAAACAATTATGTTTAATTGAAGATATATTTTTGTTACTGTACATCCTGACCATTTTTCATTCTTACAATTTCAAAAGTCAACTATATACCCATCTCTTAAATTTCTTAAAAGTGGAGGGTGTCCTCTTTTTCTAAATTAGTTTCTTTATCTAAGAATTAGTCTGTTGCTGTAAATTAGTTTTTCAAAATATTATTGTTTTTTTATTTTTTATGAATTGGAAGTGGGTGAAAAGAGAGACAACTGCCTTGTAATGTTAGTCTTAATTTAAAAAAAAAATTATATAATTAAAATTAAAAATAAAACAAGATTGGGCTATTAGACCATATTAAATATAATTGAGGTTTTAGCTGCAATAACCTTTTTTGTGTGGTATGTTCCAATGACTGCAATATGATATAAAGAATATTTCTACAAAATCTTGTACCAATCAAGAAATTAATGAAGTTAGTACAATTGTTCTTATCCAACTGCCAAGGTACTGTAACTACCAATTTCCCAGATAAGAATGATAGAATGCACCACAATGCTTCGAACAATGAGTATCCAGTAGGAAGCTGAGGATTCAATGGGTCAAAGGGACAACCAATGAACCTCAAACGTTCTGTAAGATGAGTATATCATTCCTCTGAAATAGTAGTTAAAGAGTTTTAAGGAGGACGTGATGGCCAAGCATTTTGAGACTTGGGTCCCAGAGTGCCCGGTTGTGAACCTTGTGTATTTAATTCTCATTAAGGTTGGTAAATATTTATTCCTCAGTGGACCCGGAAAATGAATCTTGATGCTCCCACTGTAGTATGTGGCTGGCAACTTCAAGGTAGCCGTCAGGGAAAAAGGATCACACTTGCAAACAAGTTCTCCCCATCAGTAACAGTGCTAGTACCAACAGGAGTTCAAAGGATAAGATAAAGGTAAGAAGATATGTTGAGAAATAAGATGAAGATGACTCTCTTATATTATATAGAGTGCATTTATCAAAAGTTTTACCAACAAAGTCTGAAAACAGTACCATTACCTCAACTAGTCTTTAGTTATTTCCTAAAAATTTTATTGTGACATATTAACATAGTTTTATTTTAAAAAAATGTTAAACTTCCAAGTGCCTTATTCTATTTATGTCTTTTTAAGATATCCAAGTGCAAATATATTTTAACTCATGTTCATATTTATTATTTGAGTTATTGAAGAGAAGGATGGTTGGGGTGATCAGTCAGAAATAAAAAGGCAAAAATAAATAATAATATTTATTTTAACATTTGCCGAAGTTTCGACCTGAAGTTCAGGCCTTCATCAGGGCTGCTCAAAGAGATTATTTGAATAGAGTCGAGTACTCTATTTCAACAATATCTTAGAGCAGCCCTGAACTTCAGCAAATGTTAAAATAAATGTTATTTTTTATTTCTGACTGATCAACCCACAATTATTATTTGAGTTATAATTATACTTTCTAAGTTCTGGTTTACAAATAACTTGTTGACACTATAAAAGGAACAAGGCAAAAAGAGTCATTTCCATTGTGTTTAAAACCTGTACCAGTACATACCTCAAAACTCTTGCATCTACAGCCTCTATTGTAAAAAATAAATAAAAAGAGAAAGAACCCTAAGATAAATATTGTTTATCATAAATATAGCATACTGAAATGATCAAATCCATGATAGGAGATAGATGCTTCAACAGCAGAAACCTCTTCTATATAATAAGGGTGCTTTTCTGCAGGATCCAGTGGTAAGAAATTATAATGTGTAACAAATCCTGGTTGGTCTTTCCATCTAACAAATGCCCCATTTCTCATAAGCCATTCAGCACAAGCTCTATCTGGACCAACAAGAGCGATACGACTTGCCGAAACACTGCAAGAAAATTGATATTTTAAAGTTTATTCATACCGATAAAATAATATCTCAACTAAAAATTACCGATTAAAAATCGCATTTAAAGCCCCCCAAAAAGACCTCTTGGAAGTCTTCAATGGCACCACATTCTTGAATAGATTCATTAAATTCGGAGTTTATTTTCATCCAAATTTATTTTTGTCAGGCTTCAAACCTAAATTTATTTATTATTTAATTGTTTCGCCAAATCAAGTGTTGAGCCGAAGTGAAACCAATTGATAACCTACTACTCAGAAAGAGGAGGTTAAATATTTGTTTACTCGTAAATGACTTGTCATTTACTGAAAATCGCTTTATCGCTTGATGGGATAACTGTCAACATTTTATAGACCTCTTAATCCTTCAAGCTACTCCATTCCCTACAAAATGGAACCAGTCCCAATACCTGAAAAATTACCAATTTTAACGATTAATAATGAAGTTTTATTACCTGGAGCGCCTATGAAACTCGAAGTTGCGAGTTTTACCAAGTATGATATATTTTATAAGTTTTATTTTGAAAGAATGGATGTATATATTAAATTTCTTAATCACGTATTGAAACCATATATTTCATATTTTTAGTCAAGCTCTAATGAAAGATGTGTTGACTAAAGGATTAAAAGTTATTGGAGTCATTCCTTTAAAGGACGAGTTAGATGTAAGTCACAAATTCTACTTAATTTCTTTTGTGTGAAAAAATCATTTTTCTGATTATATTTGGGAAGTTTTTTGTTACCTCAATTTGGGATTGGTGTTTTTTACAGATCAAATACTGTACTATTTCAACAGTTATTAGGTTTTTTTTTGTGAAATTAAAATATGCAGTATATGTGAACAGGATTTTCAGTTCTGCATGTTCAATCTTGTATCATTTTAATTTTAAAACAAAATAAAACAAGGTTCCTATAATTTCCTTGTATATCTGAATACTTTAGGCACTTTAAACTAGTTATTTTATTAAAGTATATCAAACTGATTTAATCTCAGCTTTGTTCATCACAAACTTTTAATATCATTATCAAAACAGCATGTTGAAAATTAAGGTTGGTAACCAAGTTGACTGTAGGCTCCTTCAGGTATGTACAAATCAGAACATGAAATGTTGGTAACCTGTTAATGGGTGTTGGATATTTCTTAGATATGGTTACTTGAATGTGGTTACATCTTTTCAGCACTGTTCCATGTCCAAACCATAGCATAAGTATCGAAGAAACATTGGCTGATGCTGCTTGTATTGTTTGCATCAAAATAGTTGTACATGTTATAAAAACAAAGAATGTGGTTTTGAGAAACTTCATCAATTAATTTCCAGAAAGAAAATTTTTTGGAGGGAGTAGAGAAGCTCAGTGGTAGGTTGCTGACTTCCAATGCTCAAGGTTCTAGGTTCGAATCTAGCTGATGGCAGATAAATTATTTATTCTGTTTTTGCGGCCATAGATCTACCCTGGGGTTGAGGGATCCTCCTGGGCATACCCAGCCTTTATAAAGTGGGAACCATTAATTAAATAATTGATTAAGGGAGAAAATCTGGTGTTTGAGGATGATCTTGGTGATATCACCTTGCACAACCATTGACCAAGAAACACTATTTTCTTACCAAGTACCGAACCTTTCATATATTGTAGTTCAAGTTTAAAAGTTTGAAGCCTATTTTTAGATTTCTGTCTTCGTAATCTTGCTCTTGGCATTCCACAATGTAGGAGCAGTTCTTAGTACTTCTATTACAAGCTCTTCTGTCCATATCATGTTTGCTACAAAATTTAATAAATCATGAATTTAATTGTTAAACGATGTAGAGATGGTTGACCATGATATAATATGAGAAGGAGTTGATCGGGGGCTGCGGTCAAATAAATACTAAATTATAGAAATAGTATTATTCAATTAAATAAATAAAGTATTTATTTAAATAATATTATTTCTATAATTTAGTATTTATTTGACCGCACCCTCTGAACAACTCCTAATATACTGTAAAACATATACAAATAATATACAGAGCGCTCTACAATTATGAAATGAATTTTGATTGAAGTGAATTGTTGTTGTTTAAATTGTTTAGTTTTTAACTTTCAGAACTAACTCATAATGTTTTTAACATTTTGTTGTTTATTTATCCTGATTTATGTTTTTTCTTTTTCTTTGAATTATGTTTATTCTAAAAATGTTTTTACTTTCTGTTGTTTATATATCGTCACTGAAGATATTGCGTATATTGTTTAATTTTTATTAATGTAGATTTTGGTCGGATATGATTTTTGTTTTTTGTTCATAATTACTATTCTTAAGAGACCATGTCCTAGAATAAAGTTTATTTTCTGTAAAAAAAATAAAGAATATTCAAAGTCAGCTTAAAATTATGTGCTATTATTTTATTTTATTTATTTTTTTACCCTTCATCTTCTCATAAAATAAAATTTATGTTGAGATATATTTTTTTGTGTTAGATTCATTAAGGACATTAATTTAATTCAGGTTATTAAAAAAGAAGATGTTGGGACGGTTGCATTATTGGTACGGATTTCTAGTTTTAACTACCCTCAAGATACAGTTATAGTTATGACAATTGGGCTCTGCCGTTTTGTTGTACAAGAAGTTCTTTCTTCAACTCCTTACCCTCTGGCACAGGTAGAACTTCACAAAGATGTATATGGTAAGCACAGGTTTAATTTTATTAAAATATTAAATTTAACCATTAAATATTGATGACATTGTGTGAAATATAAATAGTTGTTTTTATTTTAGCTATCACACATTTATATATAATTCTTTCATTTGAATTTAACTTAAAAGGTCCGTTGTATAATATAGAGATGTAATCCTTTTCTTTTTCTATTTGTATTTAGAAGAAGAGATTAATGAAAATGTGGGTAAAGTTTTAGAGAATTTAAAAGATATAATGCTCCCCGTTATAGAAAGAATTGGCTTGCTGCCTCTTCAATATTTACATCATTTTAAGGTTAGTTATAAGTTTATAATTTGTTATTATTATAACTTTAAGTTAATAAAACATTATTTTAGATGATAATAGTGGAGATATTGTTCACTTTAAAATGGATAGTATAATGTTTTGTCCTAAGTTTCTGCCCTTCCTCCAGATGAAATGCATCAGAATTCTAAGGAAAGTGTGTCTCATATCACAGTTTCTTTAGACTTTAGAAGCAGGAATGATTTCAGAACCCCATATTACGAGAGCTGGGTGGATCAGTTTGTTAACCTAAAGTCCAAGTTCTTCTTCTTTATCTACCTCTGATGTCATTCCTAGTGTCTCGGTCCTGGCCAAGCTTATTTCTTGAAGAGTTTTCCCTCTCTTTCCTCCAGTCCGCTATACGTACTCTTGGTAGGAAATTCTTGGAGGGCCTTGCGGTCTCCTCCCAGTCTGTCGAGCTTCTTTTGCTTTCGAAGAAGAGTGATTTCAGAACTTCATATTATGAAAGCAGGATAGATCAGTTTGTAAACTCAAAGTTCAAATTCAGCTGTAAAAATTATTTAATTTGTTTTATCAGTTTTATACGTCAAGTTTTAGTGACCCTATTTTCGCCACACACATCATTTGTAACCTTATATTTCATTTGACCAATTTGTAACCTTAATATATATCCAACTTGTTGTCGAGCTTCATATAAGCCCAACATCAATTAGAGTATTTTATTTCTAATATCTTCATTATACGTTATATTGTGCTTCCTTTTCTATTTTCTAATAATTATAATTATATCACGATGTAATATAAATAATGTTATTTATAATATAATAATTAATATTTTGTATTCAAGAAGAAATGTCTAGATTAAAAATAATTGCTGTCACCTAGGTAAAATCGAACTACCTCCTCCAGATGAATATCTTACTGAAATTAATAATTAATATTTAACTATAAAATGTGATGTTTTTCTGTGAGACCTTAATAATATTCTAAAATGATTTTTTATATGTAAAATAAAATATTACTTTGTCACTAAAAACGTTTTTATGTAATAGAGATATTATAAATAGTTTATAGTTTTATTCATCAAAAAATAGTTCAAGCTTCAATAATGTTATTGTGTTGTGAACACTTTATTTAAGTAATTATTATTAGATAATACTGTTATATAATTCTATATATAAAGGTTTTATTATAATGGAGTTGACAATTTCATGACCTTAATCCATTTATTACCATTTAAATATTATTCATAAAAGTAAAACATAGAATATTGAATGGAAAGGGGCTTGTTATACTTTTCGTTCTGGGCTCAATTAGTAATGACCCTCTCGAAAAGTGTTTAAACGATTCTATATTCTATCAATAATTTTGTTCTCAGTTCATGTTTCAGCATTTCTGTGTACTAATTATTCATTGGTACAGAGAATTATTAGTTAATAATAAGTAACAAGAAAATGTGTTAGTTTTATTTTATCATTTACCTATAAATTCTTTTATAGGATTTAATGGATAATTTTCCAGCTTCTTACATTATTGACGTTTGTATACATGCCATAAATGCTTCATTTGAAGAAAAGTTGAAGATTTTAAAATTATTGGATCTTAGAGAAAGGATTGCTTTTGGAGTACCTTTGATAATGAAGTTCTTTGGTTCGTACTTAAACTTATTCTAATTAGTACTTATTTTTTCTTTAATATGATTTGCTAATCATCATGGTATGTTTTATAAACAATTAATCTGTGTCAGTCCTTAAAAACCAGACAAATTACAGTATACAGTTAAATAATGTACTATTTAACAGAAGAGAGAACTACAATAATAACATTGCACGGCTCCTCAACTATGTTGAGTTCCTAAACAACACAGCATACTCATCAATCAACCGATAATATTGATAAAGATTAAAAGAGAGTTAGGTCGGACCATTGGATTACAAAACAAATATGCAAAAAACCGTTCACAGAATCAAAAAAATGAAGGCTAATATCAATGTATGTGGTGATGGAGGATTCCTAAAGACTCTAAAATAATAGTTTCTGTCATGGTTATGGTTATATGGTTATAGCTCCCTTCCAACACCGAGCCTCTGCAAAGAAATTACTTGTAGTGAGAGGAATGCCTGCCTTACTTCCGAACTATAACCCTTTAACTGAGAATTCTCTCTCGCCAAATTCATCTCTGTACTTTTCCTTCAGCTAAGGTATGCATTTCGTATAAATTTCCTCTTTCCCTGCCTCTTCCTTGAAGTCCTGATCCTGATCATTGGTTTCAAATCTGATCATGGGATCCACTATTAGTACCTCCTTTTCCTTAGCATTGGATACCAAAACGAACCTTGTCGAGCCTTCTGTATCCAGACAATAAACTTCCAGGAAACGTTCATAGTTCTTCTTTTGAAAAACTTTTCTTCTCTGCGATGAGTTATATTACTGTGACAAGGAGCATGTTATGCTGTAGGGTTTCTGACTTGGCCGAATTTCCTGAGATGGGTCCAACATCTTTGTTAATCTGGCTTCTGGCCCCTGGTACTCCAAGGAGAGGAGCATAATCAATATTTAATTTCATGGTGTTCCTCCATTCTGAGCTGCTGCGAACTTTTCTATCATAAATGAATTTATTGGTCCATGGATTAGATTTAAAATGAGAAACACCAATTCCCTGTCACTTGCATTTACTCCATTCTTAGATTAACCGAATAAAAGAAATATATTAAAAAAAAAAAAGAAAAGAAAAAGATTAAATGAATTGATGGATTTTTACTATGATGTAAGTAAAGCATAGACAGCTAAACTTTTTTTCCTTATGAACATTTATGAATGCCAGACAAAAACTCATTGAGGTCGTACTACACTATCGGAGGCTGTAGGTTTCCTTCTAATGATTTAAATAAAGCTTTGTTTTTTAATCCTGTACCTAGTTTGTCTAGGACCATTTTGGTTTTGTGACATACATTAACCCACTACACTTTATCCTCAATCTTAATTTTGTTTTTAACATCTATAATCCAGGATTTCGATTGATGCAGGGCTGTCATAGACCCTTTTTGACTCAGAGAGCATGTTCCTTATTTACTAACTCAAATATAGTGGAAGTGATTGTGAAGATTATCATGTCCAGTCTTCATTCAAATTTGTGGGGTAGCTTTATTTCTGAAAAATCTACTATCACTTTTTGCCAATTTCTGTTTCAATTTTCCTATGAATGATTATTTTATTACCTTTTTTGCTGCCAAGAGAGGTTTTAGCTTATCAGCTGGTCTTTTAGGACTACTTATTAGACTCATTTATTACAATTTGATCATATTTTTTCTTATATCCAAGAGAATTTTAAAATGAAAAAAAAAAAGTTTCCACTGACTAACAAATCATTAGATGGTGTGAAGTTGATCATATGATTACATGATTTGATTTATTGTACAGGCTATGCTGACCGATTGATTATCAGTTGTTAGATAATCTTATCTGTCAGTTTCATCATTGTAATCTGCAACTAGTACTTTCAAATGATTTGGTTGTTTTATTTTATATTTTTATCAATGTTGTTTATTCCCTATTGTCTTAGAAGTCATAAGAGACCCGAATAGCTCTGTGAGTAAGACACTGTGCTCGTATTCTCCCAATCCTGGCTTGAAGTGGCCATGTCATGTATAGATTTTACATGGTTTGTAGTGGGATTCACTTATTTTTCCTTAAATGCCTATTTTCATTTAATACGAATTGCAGATAGGTTACTGTTTATAATATTTTAAAATAAAATGTAAAGGGTATCTATATATATATATATATATATATATATATATATATATATATATATATATATATATAGGTACAGTAACAGACATATTTATTATTTTAAAAACTAATATAACATATTTCTTCAGAAAACGTAACACCAAGTGTAATGAATATTATTATTTTTAATAGTTTTCTTAAATTAGATCAGCATATTTTCAAATTAGAATGAAAAATTGATTGGAAGCGATATGACTTATAACTAGGTATAAAATAAGTTTAATGCAGTGTTACCAACAGTGTCATTCATATTTTTTTATTGCCAAAGAAATTGATTAAACGATGATATTATATTGACAAATGAATTATTATTTTCAAGAAATTCATGTATACTTTTGAATTTTATGTGTATAAAATCTTGTTAGATTTAGATTTTTAAACATACATATATTTAAGAAAACAATTGAATTCAAAACTCCTCTATTTGCAGCATTCCACGTAAAACAATAATGGTAATTGATAAAAAAATACAAAATAAATTACTATTTTCAAAATAATTGCTAATACTTCCAATAGAATAATGTAATGTATAAATTATGTCCAATTGGATTGATCGGTATACTGTGTGTAAAGCAACCCTATGTAGTCGGGCAGCACTACTTTCAATAAAGTATTTCTCTCTCAAATTATTAACATATACATTTTATTGAAAACATATTGATCAGTACAACTGTTGCCAAGATGATCACCGATAAAGGTTATGTTAAACAAGAAGCACAAGTAATGTCACTCTCTACTGTCTCTGTATACTCTCTATTATTATTTGATGTTATTTAATTTAAAGCCTAAATTTACATAGCTGAAGCTGATATAATCAACATTTTGCAATATTCTTACATTAGTAATTTTTTCTTTTTCCTTCTACTTGGAAATTTCTTACATGTAGTGTTATCATCCTTCAGATAGCCTATTTATTCTAGCCAGGGTGATAAGGTTGAAATTCATTCCGTGGTTCTGCCAAAAAATAAATTTCAACCTTACAAGTCCAGATTTGAACCTGAGCCCTTCTGAATTGAGGTTGCTGAGGTGATGCCTTAACACATTTGGTCACCACCACCCCATTTTTACATTAGTTGGAAATTTATCTTTTTTTTTTTTAAATAAATGTATTTATGTTTTTTTTTGTTTTTTTTTACAGGAAATGAAAGTGATATTAAAACACGTTTATACCCTAGCAGGTCGCTCCCTAACTTTCCTGGTGTTTCAGTTATTAAGTTTAAGTCATCGCAGGGAAAGGCGTTGCAGCGTCACTTAGGCGATTCAGACTTGGAAGATTTAGAACAACGATTACAGTAATTATAATTGTTATATTATTTGCATTTTTCAACCTTTTCTCACTTATTAACATAGTTAAAACTTTTTCTTTTTTTTTTCAGAAAAGCAAATTTTCCAGAGCATGTTTCTAAAATTATTAACAAGGATCTTGAAAAATTAAAACGGTTAAGCCCATATAGTCCTGATAATGCAGTTATCAGAAACTATTTAGAATTTGTTGTTGACTTACCATGGTCCGTGTCTTCAAAAGAAACCTTAGATGTGAAAGCTGCTAAAGTGGTTTGTATGAATATTTCGCATTAGTTGTTTTAGTGATTTATTGTGTCTTATGCAATAATATTTATTTCATGCTTTTCCATTAGCTATTGGACATTGAACATTATGGTATGGATAAATTAAAGAAACGCATCATTGAATTTCTCGCTGTAAGGCAATTGAAAACAAATGTGAAGGGACCTATACTTTGTTTTATTGGTCCTCCTGGAGTTGGCAAAACAAGCATTGGACGTTCTATTGCGCACATTTTAAATAGAAAATTTCAGAGGTAATTATTCCTTACATTTTCTATGCATTATATGTAATTAATTATTTTGTTTGTTGCATAAAATTGTCTTGTGTGCATATATTGGTTAACTTATGGGCGTGTGTTCTTAATAAAACTGGTTGGACCTATCCACCACATCAATTATGATTGTGGCAGACAGGAAAGGATTATCAGCTATGTAAAGAACTTTTAGTTTATAATTTTAAACTGCCACTTAAATTATCCAGTGGGGCCAAACTAAATAATGAAAGTGTATGGAATTGATTAGGAATGTTTGGATTTATATTTAAACATTGACGATTAATGCTGGAGAAAGTATAATCAGAACAGTTGTCTCTGCCCGTCAATGTTATTGTGTTTCACTTTAGAGAAAATAGAAGTATAAGGATAATTATTGACTGGCACTATTTTGTTTTTTTGACAGCTATAGATAGATAGAAAGTAAACTTTATCCTGGGATGAGGTCCCTTATGAATAACAGATATGAACAAAAAAATAAAAACTACATCTGGCCAAAAATTACATTAGTCAATAATAAAGAATATATAATATCTTCAGTAAAATTATATTAAAACAAGTAAAAATAACACCATTTTGAAGAAAAAAAAAACAACATAAAAAAACCTTATTTAAATGAAAAGAGAACAAAATAAAATAAACATGGGTTGATTTTTAAAATTAAAACTTTATCAATTTTAACAACCATTCACCTCAGTCAAAATCTGTTTCGCAATATTTATTTCATTGTATAACGTCATTTTGGGATATGAGAAGGAATTTTGTAAAGATGATATTTAAATGAGGACAAGGAAGAGGCATGGCGGATATCAGAAGGCAAGGAATTCCAGAAGGCAGTGGATCGGACAATAAAGGAATATTCAAAGTCTTAGTTCTATGGGAAGGGACATAAAGGTCGGAAACACGGGATCTTGTTTTCTGGGAGTGGACCACAGGTTTAAACTGTAGGAGACTGTAGATGTAGGAAGGGTGTCGGGTGTTGATTGTTTAGAATAGGAAAGATCCAAGGAAATATTGTCTGCGGAAAGAAGGGAAGAGCCACTTTAACTCGTCGTAAAGGTGGGACACATGAGACCGCCTCGATGTACCGAAGACAAATCTTAAGCACGTATAACACATTGTTTTAATATTCTTTAACATGTCATGTTTTGTTCCTACAAACTATGATTTGCTGACAGCATTAGTTTTCTGTTATAATTTAAAGATAACTGCTGCAGAATTGTATCAAATGCTTGTTGAAGCTTATGGCTAATGTGGTCTTGGTAAATCACAGTGGTTTGATTGGTTTTAATAATTCAAAAGTGGTGATTTGGACATGGGAAATGAAGAACATGGAATATATGTGTGACCTATTATAAGCCACTCAAACTTGGTAAAATCTTTAATACTGAATACTATCAACAAAAAATTATCAATTTTAAGTGAGTATTGTGTGGAAAATGACCAAAAGAAGAAATAAAGTGTTCTTAATGATAATGCATCATCACACAGCAAAACCAGTGAAGGAAATGATTAAGGCATTCAGTCGGGAGATATTAACATCTGCAACTTACTCTCTAGACTTGGCTCCAACTGATTACTATTTATTTGCATCAATGGGGCACACACTTGCTTAGCAGCGCTTCAATTCATTGAAAATGTATGAAAATTCATTGATGACTGGCTCGCCACAAAAGAGGAACTACTACTGTAGTTTTTAAAATTATTTTATATGCGTTGTAACATATTTCCTTGTTCATGCCCCTTGTTGTGTAACATATTGCCCCTTGTTCATGAATTGTTCTTTTATTATTTTTGAACTTCGGGAAAAAACGTATTTATATGTAAAATATTTTATCAAGTCTTATTAATTTTAAAAATTGTAGAAACAATACTAACATTTAACTAGCTATAAAAAATAAAAGGTGCGATGTATTAAAGCTAACAAAGGGGAGGTCCTCTTTTGTCTAAGGCAGAATTGTGAATAACGTAATTTTGCAAGTCATTGTTTATTCTAATGGTGATTACTGTTTTTTTTTAGTGGTGTCATCTGTTAGTTGCCCAGTGAACTATGTATTTAACATGAAACATATTAATTATTTCTTTTTGTAATTATGCCTTTTGTAAACAACTAATTTTGGTTTATTATTTTCAATAATCAACCATTGTGATCGACCAAAAAATTCAAAAACTTAACCCCCTCTCAAAATTTGAGGTTTCCTCCACAAAGGCTTCTGGGATCTCTCTGTTTGACAGTTTAATACCAGAAAGAGACTATAATGAGTATTAGTAGAAAAAGGTCTTTTCTTTCTCGATAAATAATTGCTTTATTTCAAAATTATCCAAATTTTTGCCTCTTCAAGCATCTTCAGGGATAATCTGATTTGGTGTTCTTAGTTTGTGTTCTTTGACTAAGTGTGTAAGTGTGTGCACTGCTACGAGCGAATGAAAATTAAATTACATATATAATCAGATTATCCCTGAAGAGGCGAAAATTTGAAATAAAGCAATTATTTATCGAGACTGAAAAGCCCTTTTTTCTATTTATAATTTTTTAATATTTGCTGCAGGATTTCTCTTGGTGGTGTTTCAAATCAATCGGACATACGAGGTCATAGGAGGACTTATATTGGTGCTATGCCAGGTCGCATTTTACATGCGATTAAAGCTGCTGGAACAAATAATCCTGTCATTCTTCTTGATGAAATAGATAAACTTGTAAGGATTTTTTAAAAATAGTTGAAATATTTTGTTTTTAGTTTTTACAAGCATTAATCTTAATACACACTATGCATACATTTTTTTGAAGATTATTATAGAACTGTATACCTTTATTGAAAACCATGGTGGGCTTTTTGTAAATGTTAAGGTATTAACCTCTTAAGATATAAGTTTGGTCCATGATGGTGTGCAAATTAATTATGAGCTGGCGTTTTTGTTCTAGAGGTACAACCAAATCTATTCTAACTAGAATGAGAAGGTTGAGATTAATTCTGTAGGTCTGGAACAAAATAAATTTTGATTCGTCGCCACTAGTTATTTATTAATGTAGCTGGAAAAAAATTATTAATCTTTAGCACATCCATTGTTAAAACAGGTCATTTATATTCCAGGGAAGTGGAGGCTATAACGGAGATCCCAAAGCTGCTCTTTTGGAAGTTCTGGATCCTGAACAAAATATGCATTTTACTGATCATTATCTTAACGTGCCATTTGATTTATCAAATGTTACATTTGTTGCGACTGCCAACTCGGCTAGGACAATACCGGCTCCACTTTATGATAGGCTGGAAGTCATCAGCGTTGATGGCTACACATCGGTAACTACTTTTATTGGTTTTGTCTTTTTAATTTAATCTTAACACCTGAATTAAATAATATACAGGTAAAGAAACAAATTTATTTTGTTACCAAATGGGTTTAAATATTTTTCATGCACATTCTTGTTAAATATATTATTTAAAATATACCTATAGGCTTTGAAAAAGGGGAAATATCAGAAATTTCTGTTTTAAAGTATATGCAATTGAAAGTTTAGTAGTTATCTGAATACAAATAAATGGAAAATCATTAAATTTCTTGTAAAGGAATCGGAAGAACTGTCAGTTTATAGTTCGCTACCATAAATTATTGATTTATATTTAAATTGTTGGTACTTTTTGTCTAGCGGGCAGGCACTGACTGCTATCTGCCAATGTTTATAACCTGAACTCTGATAATTCCCATAACACATTGATAAGCCTTCTCCTACTTCATATCTTTGTATTATTGTATTAAATTCATATTATTGAAAGTGTAAACAGATACAAAAAGAAATGTAATAACAAAAAAAATACTCACAATATTTCTCCAATTCTTCTTCGGTGCATACTATTTATTTTCAAGTTTATTTATTATCAGCCATTTTACAACAATTTTCAAAATTTTGTCAACTTAATGACTACACATCTAATTACGACGTTTCGGCTCGTTGAGCCATTTTTAAGTCTAAAATACCAATCATGTACCTGTCCTTTTCACTTTTGCGAATTCCATGCGTCTACTCATAATAAATTTTTTTTATTTTTGTCATGTGACTGAATAGAAATGGAGACTGATGACATGTTGGTGACACATAATAAGGTGGACATGACAAAAATAAAAAAAATTTATTATGAGTAGAGGCATGCAATTCGCAAAAGTGAAAAGGACAGGTACATGATTGGTATTTTCGACTTGAAAATGGCTCAACGAGCCGAAACGTTGTAATTAGATGTGTAGTCATTAAGTTGACAAAATTTTGAAAATTATTGTAAAATGGCTGATAATAAATAAACTTGAAAAAAAAAAACTTTTATTTTACGACATATATATTAATGAAATAATAAAACAACACTTTAAGAAGATATGTACATATAAAACATCAAAATGAAATAATAAAAAAACACTTGAAGAACATATGTTGATATAAAAGATGAAAATGAAATTATAAAAAAACATTTAAAGAACATATTTACATAGAAAAGAAAAAATATCAACACTATAAACAACAGATCTACAATTTGTAGTTACAAATATGATGAAAATAAACGGAAAAAAAATGAAAAATAAACACAAACAGGACAAAAGTAAAGAATTTAATAAGTGAACGTAATAAGGGAATAACTGAAAACTAAACATTGCAATAACTCAAAGGTTTGGTGGGATAAGAAGAGGGAGGTTATGTGACATGACTTTAGATAAGATAGATAAGAAGTGAGGTTTCATGCCGGCCCGCTAGACAAAAAAAACCAAATTTTTTTAATGCTATATTGTTGAACATCATTTATATAATTCAAAGAAATTTCATAACTCTAATATGTATTTATTTTGGATATAGTTTGTACATATTGCTTTCCCGTTTACAGGTTGAAAAGTATCATATTGCAGTAAAACATTTGCTTCCGAAACAACTTGATCTCCATGGCTTGGGACCTGAAATGCTGCAGCTGACTGATGATGCAATATATAAAATAAGTTAGACATCGTTTTAAAATTGGTTATGATTTCTATAGAATTCATATAAAATTAATAAAGTATCTTTTTTTTATTAGTTCACGAATATACGAAAGAAGCTGGAGTAAGATCACTTGAAAGAAAACTTGCTGCTGTTTGTCGTTCAGTTGCAGTAAAAGTTGCTGAATCTTCAGAAGATACACTTCCTTATATTATCAATGCTGATAACATTGAAGATATTCTTGGTGTAAGTAAATTTTCTATAAATTACTCCTTTAGGATTATTAATAAGCATCACCATTCAATCATTTAATGATTTAACTTTACCTTTCTGGGTGTATCTGCGAATTTATAGTTTTTTAAATGATTACAATAAAAAAACGCTGCAAATTATTTCACAATGGTTTATTATTTTCAAACAATTATACATCTAAAGTAACATTACCTTCCAAGTTACAAAGGAAAAAAAAAACAAAAGGTGATTCCAATTATTGGACTAAACTGTTTTTCTTTAATCATTAGTAATATGCTAAAAACAAATAGCATTAGTTCAGTAACACATTCAAAATTTAAAAACCAAACCAAGGATATTGCTCCTAATTATCCGATTTTAACGATTTTTTTTTTTTTACGAAATTTCGTAAACTTTTAAAAAACTACATACAATATCAACAAAAAAGTAAAAACTTTTTGAGTTATTCGGAATTTAATTTTACCATCCCTCATAACTTTTTTTCCAGTTTCTTTTCTTTGAAGTATGTTATATAGATAAATTTAAAGGGCGTTGAGAAAATGACTTTAGCGAAGTTTCATTGAAATCTGTACATTCGTTTAGGAGCTACACTCTATAGCAACGCAGGTTTTTCGGCCGCCATTTTGCAAGTTAAAGGCGGAGAGTAATGTCGATGAAAGAGGATCATCCTCGGGTGACCTCTGATTTTATATAAAAATTTGATACAAAGAGGTTACAGTCTTATATTACACACACACTGATTTTCTTTCCATTTGCTAATGCAGGATGACGACTGACCTGGAAAATGGAAAAAGTCAGGAAATTTTTGTAGTGAATAAATATTTTTCATAGAAGGAAGTTCTATATATCATAGGTGATAGTCAGAATGTGTTTCAAGCACTGAAGATATTCAGAGGTGTGTTTAGAACATTTTCAGCGCTCGAAATACGCTCTGATGATGACCCACAAGCTTGGGTTGAAAAGTCAGAACCAATAAAAATCTTAAAAATGACTGCTTCCTGACTATTCATCTTGGGTAAAGTTGGCTGAAGCTGACTAATTGAAGTATTTTTGCATATTGTTAGTGAGAGAAATTTTCATCATTTCATCTTCTTTGTAATGAGTTATTATTCAAAATTGTATCTTAATGCGGCACCATGTTAGAGAGGTGAACAAATGATAACGAGTTCTATTGAAGATATGGATTAAAATATCTCAGAAACTAAAAATTGGATCTGCATACGAGGATGGTCTGAAATGTTTCCGACTGCTCTGTAAATAAAAGCAAGTGAATTTCATTGTTCACCTCTTGACAGTTAGCCACCAAAGTTTTAGCTGTTTTTATATAACAGTCGTTTGAGTTTGTTGATGTGAGTGTTTTTGTGAAAATGGACAAAATCGAGTATCGAGCCGTCATTAAATATTTGTTTTTGAAAGGCAATACGCCTTAAATCAAAGATGAGTTGGATTCTGTGTATGGGGACTCTGCACCATCATTTACCACAGTGAAATTTTGGGCAGCTGAATTTAAACATGGCCGTAAGAGCTTGGGAGATGAGGAACGTTCTGTATGTCCAAAAACTGCAACTACCGACGAAAACATCGCCAAAGTTCACCAAATGGTGCTAGACAACCGCCGCATTAATGTGAGAGAGATAGCAGAGGTTATGAACATGTCAAAATAACCTGTTTGTTACAAATTAAATCCACATTTAGATATGAGAAAGCTGTCCCCACATTGGTTGCCCCATTGCCAAAATGTATTCAAATGAACATTTCCAACTCTCTGTTGGCGCAATAAATCCGAGTTTTGGCATCGATTAATTACTGTAGATGAAGCTTGGATACACCATTTCATGCCTGAAACAAAAATACAGTCCAAACAGTGGACTACAAAGGGGGAACCAGCTCCAAAAAAAGCAAAAACTGTTTTCTCGGTTGGGAAAGTGATGGTGACTGTCTTTTGGGATAGTCATGGAGTTAGTTTAATCTACTATCTTCAAAAAGAAAATACCATTACAGAATAACAAAAATTATTCTACTAGAGTCGAACTACAGCCCGAAAATAAAAGGATGAATGACGTTAGTTGGTAATGAAGGATGGAAGGCAGGTAAAAAGTACATAGAATGGGCCGGTAGATGGGTAGCCATCTAACTTAGCACTGTGATAAATGTAAACCTACTCGCTCACAACAGCAAAAAGGTTTAAAATTCAAAGGGGTGTGGTACTACATAGTATCTTCAGCATTGTCAGAAGATGATTTCCAGTAACTGATAGTTTACTTCACTGACATTCAGTTTTTTTTTTTGTTTATTGTCACACAAGTATGACTTGTTTAGCTTTTTATTATTTGTTTAAGTTTTTCAAAACAATTATGTTAAGGAAATTTATATAAATAAAATAAAGATTTTGTCTGTACATTGAATAGAATCAACCCGTTTTATGACATCTTTCCGTTTCATACATTGCAGACACCAAATCCACTTTTTAAAAAAAATTTTGTCTGTCTGTATGTCTGCATTGCAACGAAATTTTGTCAGAGGTAAGCTCAGCAATGGCTTATTGTATACTATTGAAATTTTGACATTATATTATAAGGTTTACTTGACATAAAACATAGACCTTAAATGAAAACAAAATATTGAGTATAACCAAAGTTATGAATACTTGAGTAATTCGTCTAGAGATCTTGGTTAATTTATTGGTTAATGTATATAATAAATGTTAATAGTAAACAGATGTTTAGAGGTTAAAGAACATCTATATAAATAAAATAAAGGTTTTGTCTGTACATTGAATTGAATCAACACGTTTCATGATATCTTTTCATTTCATACATTACAGACACCAAATCTACTTTTAAAACATTTTTTTGTCTGTCTGTATGTCCGCATTGCAACGAAATTTTGTCAGGGGTAAGCTCAGCAATGGCTTATTGTAGACTTTTGAAATGTTTATATTATATCAAGATTTACTTGACTTAAAACATAGGCTTTAAATGAAAACAAAATATTAAAAAGAACCAGAGTTATGAAATCTTGAGTAATTTGTCTAGAAATCCCGGTTTGGCAGTTTCTCATCCCAACCTACTCTACCGCGAGCCATATTTAACAGTTGTACTGTTCAACTGATGGAAAAAATTATCACAACTCAACGGGAAAAATCCGAAATACCAAACATCTGTAAAGCGCTGTCGCTTAAAACACACTCATTTTTCAAATTTGCCCAATCTTCCCGTTCAAGGTGTCATTCCATTCAACTTTCCGATCCTAACAAATGTTGTCGTATACATTTGTTACGACATACCGGAAACCGGAAGAAAAACTTCTAAAAATTAAAATTACCTCTCCCTCCTCACCCAATGTTGTGAAATTAACTTTCCCCCATAATACAATATCCATCTCAAAAAAGATTCTGAAATTTTAACTATACACCTATCAACGATGGGTACATCAGCTGGTATAAGAATAAATATTTGTTGCCATTATTTGCTTTAATTATTTAGCTCATAAATGAGTAATTAACTATAAAAGTGAGATAAATAAGTTTAAGACATATTTCATAAGACATAATTTAAAACACTACGAATTTCATTATAGCAGAAAAAATATCGCTCTTAAAACTACAAAATAATTCATAGTTAATGTCCTAGACAAGTATAGTAGGTATGTTTTATTCTGTAGGTTGACAATCAATGTGTTATATATTGTAACATCCCTCTTATATTTTACAAATGATAGGAATAACAATATGACCTCATGAAAGCCCACTTTATACCCTTAGGATACTTCCAAAAGATATAAGAAGTTGTTATAATAATAAACAAAATTATAAGAGAATTAATATATTTATTTATATCGGGTGTGGGTTACTGACAATCAGATCAACTCTCAGACAATTTATTATTATTAGCACTATTTATATTAAAATTAAACACTGGTTTAAAAATAAAGTCAAGTATGAATTGACAAGCTAACGTTTTTTCTACATACAATGTTTCTTCCTTTGTGGCACTGAACTCATTTGTCTTCACACATTTTCTAAAGTTCTGCCAAACAACTCTTCCAAATTGGTAACACTATTAATGGGTTTTACCTACTGGAGCCAGTATAGGATACCTTCTCTTAACCTCTCTTCACTGCAGTCACACAACAACTGTTTGCCTAAACAAAAACCTTTGTCCCTCTCCTCTTTGGAATTTTCCTTCTTGGGAAATTACAGAGCAGCCATTTTCTTTTCCCTGCACTAGTAGAACTAGATTAGCTTGCCTTTTAATTGTTCAACATTAATTTATTAAATCATTTTTACCCACTTCCAATAAAGGTGTATATTACAATGTAGTTGTTGTTTTTTTGTCTAGATGGCTCCGTATTATGGGGAAGAGATTCTTACGATTCCTAGCCACCCGGGCGTGGCCCTTGGCTTGGCTTGGACTGGGAAAGGAGGCTCGCTGCTGGTCGTCGAGGCGAAGAGGGTTCCTAAAAGTTCAGGCCAAAAAGCGAAGCTCATACTAACCGGGTTGCTTGGGTCTGTGATGAAGGAATCGGCACAGATTGCTTTCAATTGGGTCAGGTCTGCTGCTTATCAGGTATTGTATTGCGGACGTATAGTGAATGTTTCTTCTGTTATCCTTGTTATTCTCATTTTACTTTACTTACATAATGCCATAGAGCATTTGTTATGTTACTATAATTTTCCTTTCAATGATAAATTTGATATCCATGAAGGCACCTGCCATAATTCCATTGTGACATTTTACACAGTCAAGTTTCTTAACCAAAGCTTTTTCCTAGAAATTATAGTTAAGTAGTTTAGTTTGCAGCCACCAGAGATCACCACAGACTATTGATACTACAGTGGCTTAATAATACAGTGTGGTCATACCGATGGGACGGCCATATTGGATCAGCAGGAAACTATTATTTGAATAGTCTGTGTTCGTTATTTCAATTTAAAAAGTAATTATTGTAACAAATTATTCACTAGAATGATTTGGGAGATAGAATTGAAGTTGAACAATCTGAATGAAGCATATGAATCACTTATATCACGCGAAAATAAATAATAAAATCAAAGAACAATATTTGTTTTTTTTTTCTTTAACTTCTTTTAAAATATATTCCAATAAACTTTGGCATATTACGATTTCCATTGTATTCATCTTACTCTCTCATTGCCAAATTTCAAAAACAAATTTATATAATTATTAAAACATTAAACAAAAACTGAGTGAAAATTAACTTTCATTGGAAAACCAGAAACTCAATTCTAAGTCAGCAACCATGAAACTATTTTTATTTTAATTCTTAATATTCACCTTTGAAAAAAACAAAACTTTAAAGAAATGTAAATTATTTAATAAATACAAATTATTTAATGTAAATTTAATAAATATAAATTATTTAATGCAAATTTAATAAATATAAATTATTTAATTTAAATTTAATAAATATAATTTATTTAATATAAATTTAATAAAAATAATTTATTTATTTTTACTTTGTTGCTTGTGACTGAATACCACAACCAGTGTTGCCCAAATGCGAGAACATGACGTGTCTTAGTCTTGTGCAAGTCTCGCAACAGTCTTCCGGTTACCTATCAGCTTATTATTATAGATATATTACTGTAAAATGTCAGATATGGGAAACCTAACTGAGCCCAAATAAAAACTTGAAAGTTAAATTCCAAAGGATATTGGTTATACCAATTCTTTACATATGGTAACTAAATTTTTTAAGATTTACTATTACAACTATTTCAAGGTTGACTATTTTAACTTAATTTTCATTCATAAAAAGTATTTTTTTTATCAATCTTGGTCTTGGTCTTGCAACAGTTAGGCGGCCTTAGTCTTGATCTTGCAAAGTACATCACCAAGACCGATTTTGTACAACACCAACTATTATAAATCCACTATAATTAAAAATTTAAATAGTTCAAAATTTGATCCTCGATGTATAGATTCATTTCTGATCATTGATATAAAATATTTTTTATGAAATGATTTACCTCTTACCATAATGTAGATATTGTATATTGCATCTCTTGTTTTGTTTATTTTTCATTACTTTTTGGGGAAATTAGAGATTGTTGGCTATAATATATTTTTCAATTTTACCACACAGGATATACCAATTAAAAATAACTCATAGTGAAACATAAAAATGTAAGGATAAAATACAATCAATTATCAATTGATTGAAGAACTATCCAATTTAACTTGAAAAAGAAAACATGTTTAAACAAAAGGAATATATATATAAAAAAAAAAAGATGAAACAGAGAATTTATTTACAAAGAAATTTAAATTTATAAATGCTGCACATATACATTTACAGATTTACTGCTAAAAACAGACATATGAGGGAAATTATTTTTAGTTATTGAATTTGCCCTAAGTCTAAATACAATAAACCTCTTAAGAATACTATATTTAATATTGTGACAATTAAATATGTGTTCTTCATCAACAGAACTCATTTTTCTCTATGAAAAATCCTCTTAAATCACCTTTGACTGAGTTGATTTGGCTCATAGGTTTCGAAATTGGCTTAATCCTTTAATTTGTTACTTTATTTTATTGATTTTCCTTTGTAATTCAGTGGTTATGAGAGAAAAAGATTGAAATTAAGTTTGAAATTTGTTTATAGAAGATATTTTTATAGTTTGAGGCTATTAGCTGATACAATTTTTATTTTGAAGTCAGTGGTTTCGAGTATTAAATTAATATTTGGATTTCATTTATAGTTATTGTTACTTTCAATATTAAAAATATGAGTGTAGTTGATGATCCTTAAATCATAGTTTAATTGAGTATAGTTGATAATCCTTAAATGATAATCTTGGCCTTAAATGAAACACATATTTTAATGATGAAAGTAACAATAACTATAAAGGAAAACAAAATTTCAATTTTATCCTAGAAACTAATAACTTCAAGATAAAAATTGTGTTAGCTAATAGCTTCGAACTATAGACACTGTCTTCATATAACCAAGTTTCAAACTTAATTTTCATCTTTTTCTTTCATTACCACTGTATTAAAAAGGAAAATTAATAAAATAAAGTAAAGAATTAAAGTATACTCACAATTTTAAGTCTATGAAGAAGAAACCAAACTTGTCACTTCAACTTTAAACACTAATATATATAACTATTAAATAAAAACTACCTATTTATAAACTAAATCTATTACTATAACAACACAATTACACTTTCAAACAAAATATCACTAATAAAGTATGAGTCTGTGAAGATGAAACCTATCACTGAACATGAATAGGTTAACTGTCACTTTAAACACTAAAACGTACAACTATTCAATAAAAACTACCTATTAGTAAACTAAATTTATTACTAAAACAACACAATTAAACTTTTAAATAACATAAGTCTGCAAAGATGAAACCTATCACTGAACATGAAACCAAAACTATCACTTTAAACACTAAAACGTACAACTATTCAATAAAAACTATCTATTAATAAACTAAACATATCACTTAAACAACAAAATTAAGCTTTTAAACTAAAATACTGCTAATAAAATATGAAATTTTAACAGTTTTGAGGTGCCTAAAGAGCAAGCAGATAGCAAGGGACTATTCAAGTTGGCCAACCAATCAGAAATTGACTCCATATGACCGAAATGTATTATTAAGCCACTGTATTGATACATACAGTGGCTTAATAATACAGTGTGGTCATATGGATCAGGCAGCCATATTGGATCGGCGGAAAACTAATATTTGAATAGTCTCTCTTTGTTATTTCAATTTAAAAAGTAATTATTGTAACAAACTATTAACTAGAATGGTTTGGGAGATAGAATTGAAGTTAAGCAAGTTGAATGAAGCATATGAATCACTTATATCACGTGAAAATAAATAATAAAATCAAAGAATAATATTATTTTTCTATTTAACTTATTTTAAAATATATTCCAATAAACTTTGATATATTGCGATTTTCATTTTATTCATCTAATTCTAACATTGGGAAATTTCACAAACAAATTTATATAAATATTAAAACATTAAAGAAAAACTGAGTGAAAATTAACTTTCATTGGAAAACCAAAAACTCAATTCTATGACAGCAACCATGAAACTATTTTTATTTTCTTCCTAATATTCTCCTTTGAAAAAACAACACTTTAAATAAATATAAATTATTTAGTGTAAATTTAATAAAAATAAATTATTTAATATTAATTTAATAAAAATAAATTATTTAATGTAAATTTATTTATTTTTACTTTGTTACTTGTGACTGAACACCCCAACTAGTGTTGCCCAAATGCGAGACCAAGACGAGTCTTGGTCTTGTGCAAGTCTTGCAGTTACCTATTAGCTGTTACCTATTACCTATTACAATAGGAGATATTATTGTAATTTTTCAGATATGGGAAACCTAACTAAGCCGAAATGAAAAATTTAAAGTTAAATTCCAAAGGATATTGGTTATACCAATTCTTTACATATGGTAACTGAAATTGTCAAATTTTAGTGACTATTCTACCTTAATTTTTATTCATAAAAAAGATTTTTTTTTCCCCGGTCTTGGCCTTGCAACAGTTAGGCGGCCTTAGTCTTAGTCTTACAAAATGCATGACCAAGACTGATTTTGGGCAACACTAACTATTATAAATGCACTATTATTACAAATTTAAATAATTAAAAATTTGATCCTCAATCAATAGAATCATTTCTGATCATTGATAATAAAATATCTTTTATGAAATAATTTACGTCTTACCACAATGTAGATATTGTATATTGCATCTAAAGTAGGAGCATTTGTTTCCGAGTGGTGTAACTTAGTTTTTGTATAATTTATTATAAGTTTCACCAAGTTTCAAACTTGATTTTCATCTTTTTCTTTCATAACCACTGAATTACAAAGAACAATTAATAAAATAACGTGAAAAATTAAAGTGTTAAGCCATTTTCAAAATCTACATAAGCCAAATCAGCCCAGTAAGAGGTGATTTAAAAGCATTTTTCATAGAAAAAAATGAGTTCTGTTGATGCAGAAGACATAATTAATAGAATTGTTAAGGGGTTTATTGTATTCAGACTTAAAATAAATTCAATTAGTAAAAAGAATTTTCCCCATAGGTCTCTTTGTAGCAGTAAATGTGTAAGTGTATGTGCAGCATTTATTAATTTTATATCCCTTTGTTGATTAAAAATGTTTTCTTTTCGTGTTTGGTTTCATGCTAAGTTGGTTTGTTCTTCAATCAATTGATAATTTAATGTACCTTATCTTTACAATTTTTTATTTCACTCTTAGTTTTTTTTTGTTAGTTACTTGGTATATCCTGATAAATTGAAAACACATTATAGCCAAAATCTCTGATTTCCCTAAAAAGTAATGAAAAATAAATAAAATAAGGGAAAGCTTACTAAGAACTTGTATTCTGGACTAATGGAATTCAGGAGTGATGAAAGTTATTTCAATTTATCCTATTATGATTATTTATCAACTTCATTGATAACAGATATATTGATGAGTGCGTGTGTGTGTGTGTGTGTGTGTGTGTCTGTCTGTGTGTGTGTGTGTGTGTGTGTGTCTGTCTGTGTGTATGTATATGTCTATACGTACATTTAATTTTATAAATAAAAATGTATGCCTTAAATATGTATTGTATACCAGGATTTTTTTACTTTCATTTACCTATGCATGAAATGTATAGTAAAGGAAAGTATTGCGATCATGAAAATTTTTTAATCTCAGTTTTCAACAGAAATGTACGTTTTGAAGTCTTTTGAGTCCAAATAACCAAGTCCCGCAAAATGGTCTATGTGTGTTAACAGTCTAGCTCAAAAACGAAAAGTCATATAAAAGAGAAATTGCATATTTAAGGTTTTTATATGCTAAGGATGTTACAGTAACTTTTTAGGCAAAATCAACTGACCAGAATTGCCACTTTATATCATGGGATAAACACATTTTTACAATTTTCTTGAAAATGGCTCTAACGATTTTGATTAAATTCATTATATCATTATAAAATTAAGCAGTTTTAAATAAAATGTAGTTTTTATTCTGTTTGATGTTCTCTAACAGAGCTTATATGGCTAATTTTCAATATTAGCCTCCTCTAAAATACCTTTAATTTTGTTTATTTATATTACATTTTTTTTTTACTATTTTGCATTAATCTCTAATATAAAAGGTAGTTAAATCTGAAATATGAAAGAATTTATAATTAAGTAAAGGAGAAATAAAAAATCGTAACGGAGAATAATTGTAATTAATCGCTCCCGAGCTCGCCCGAAAGATTATAACAGGCTTCCATCTGTAACATGAGCTTAATATAATACGGACTCCGACTGTATATTATATAAATATACATATGAGGTTTCCATAAATGCTATTGTTGGTATTATTCAATATTTAATAGTATAGATTACACCAATATAAATATTAAAATCTGTATATATAAGGGTACTGATACAAATAAAAATACCCACAATGAAGTATAAATAATTATAGCGTCTAATAATTTTTACTTTCACTTATCCTTTGTCTGAAAATACTTATTTCTGCTAAGAGGGTAGTAAGTGAAAGTTGTGTGATACTTGCACTGCACCAGTTTTTTTTTTTCTGATAGCAACCAATATATTTATCTGATAAGAGCTCTTTCCAATCCTATGGTCTAACAGGACATTACAATATAGTCCAATATTGTCTCGATATTACAAAAACTTTAGTAGTTTCTGCCATTATTTTGCTTTTATGATTGGATGAGATTAATTTTGATGTAATTTTTATTTATTTATTTTTTTTTTGCAGTATGGCATTGTAAAAGAGGGCAACGATTTGCTGGAGAAAAGTGACATCCATATTCATTTTCCTGAAGGGGCTATTAACAAAGAAGGGCCTTCAGCCGGAGTGACGATAGCGACAGCACTCATGTCATTGTTCACTGGATTACCGGTGGCCTCTGGGTTGGCTATGACGGGAGAGCTCACTCTTCAGGGACTGGTGTTGCCTGTAAGGAATCTTTTACTTTAAGTAATATTTCAGTAATTATTAAATTTATTTATTCTATGACAGTCATAGTAAGGGCAAGTGAGTACTAGCTTCTAACTTCTAGTGTTTATAATCTAGTCCATATGATTAATTTGTTGTTAGTTTAAAACGTATAGAAATGGAACAGTGCTAATGGAAGTATTTTGAGTCCAATCTCGATTAACTGCCAGATGGGTCCAACCTTACTATTAAGTCTCTCAATTTTTCACTGGACATGGAGGTCTTTGTGCCAAATTTTATTAACTGACTGCATTGCATTTGAAGCACTGAGGGCCAAGCTAAAAAGGAGTACTGGTCTCTGCAGCCTCGCCAAAAAGATGATTTCCCTCTACTTGTCTCTGTAGATTACTATCCTTACTAATATATAGGAAATGCTTCAAAGGAAATGCAGCCCTTAATCCGACATGTGTTTAAGATAAAGAAGGCAACAGCTCCTGCTATTTCAACCAAGAAACAAGAAGATAAGGCTTAATCTCACAATTTTATTGGTTTTTATACAGTAAAATTAGAATTTCGTATTGTGGAAAGAATAGGACGGGAGAGAGGAATTAATAAATTTATCGATAAATCTTGTCTTGCAGATTTATGTTTCTGATATCTTATATATCCTTTATTTTTAATAATAATAATAATAATCTTTTATTTATTCTGGGACGAATCCCTTTAGAATAATTAACAAGGACAGAAATGTGGGCTTTTGAGCCTCAGATATATATACATGTATTTAGAAAGTTAGCTAATAGATATAATAGAGAAAAAAGAAAAAAAAAAGTTATCTTCTAAGATTAAATCGATTAAGAAAAAATAAAATAAATTAAAGAAAAATCAGATGAAAATAAACTAATAATATATATACATATTTACAGAAGTTTCTATTTACAATTTTAGAGGGACTGGATGGAAAGAAAGTGATTGAATAGGCGGGATTTAAAAGAAGGAAAGTATTGGAGCGGCAGATGTCGGGAGGGATGGAGTTCCATAGGGATGAGGATCGAATGATAATAAAAGATTTATCGAAAGCAGCGGTTCAGTGGGCCATTATATATAAATCTGAAGACCGGAAACAGGTATTAGGTATTGGAAAGAAGATTTAAATTGAAGGAGCTCCTCGGAGATGTATAAAGGGCGGTGGGAGTGAATGACTTGGAAGAGGAAGGATGCCAGGGAATACTTACGGCCGTAGGAAGGATAAAGCCATTTCAACTCTTCATAGAAAAAGGAGACAGGGGGTTCTCTTGGGATCCCGAAGATGAATCGTACAAAGCAATTTATCAAACGTTTTAGTTTCACCTCGTGATCCCCAGAGACGCCTCCATATACTGTGCAGCAATAGTCGAAATGGGAAAATATTAAGTAGGTAACCAGTAGTCTACGGATTTCAAAAGGAAAAAGGTGTTGGAGGCTATTTAAGTGTTTTAGGGTGGAAAAGGCACGTCGGGAGATATTGGGTACATGGTTTTTCCAGGAAAGGTTTTGATCAAAGATTATTCCAAGATTTTTGATGGTGGGGTAAAATTTGATGGGATTAACATGTAGGAACAAGGTTGGAATGTTAGGAACAGTTTTGAGGAGGTGATTGGAGCCTATCAGGATTACCTTGGTCTTTTCCGCATTCAGCTAAATGTTCTTTTGTACTTTAAAATGAAGACAACATATTAGTATGGAACCCTATCAAATTTTTTAACACGTTAGCTGCGGTTATGGCCCCCGGGTTTCCGATATCCATCTCAACTGCCAAGAGACTGGGGTTGTTTCGAATTTCGCCTATCTTACAAAGTCTCTAAAATGGTCATTTTTAAAAATATTTGAATAGAAGTTGGATAGATGTAAAGATACAAACGTAAATAATCATTATATCCGATATAAAGCTGTAGGATGCCTTGGACCGATACTGTACCACAATGATAAAAAATTCCCTGCAGTATCATCCCCCGCCGACTAATACATATTACTGCTCTGACAGGACAGTGCACATGCATGGTGATTGAGATAATGTTTGGAACGTCGGTGGTCAATTCTTGGATCATCTTCAACATGAAAAAAGAAAAACCCATATTAATTACAGAGTTTCGATCGGTTTTCGCTGATGAACTTGCAATTCAGGCCCAACCACCATCACTACATCTGATGCATCGTGTCCATTCGTCTATTAAGCCTTCAGGTGAGGGAAGAAAGCAGTGCAGAGAATGCTACAGAGAACTGAGAAAGACCCTTAAGAAGTAAGGAGGCACATAAGAAAACGCGGAAAGTCACTAGTTTTTGTGAGGACTGTGATGGTATGCCGATATCTGTTTGCAGCACTTCAACCAGTATCACAAGCAGTTAGCAACTTAATACTGTTTTTTTTATATTCCATTTTTATCTTGACATTGAAAAAGTATTACACAAATAATGTATAAATTATACTATGGAAATTATAATTATATGTAATAAATAAACTTTTTCTCATTTAATTTTCAATATTTAAGAGTTATTCCTAAAAATAACACTTTTTCTATTGAAATAAAGAGAAATAATAAAAAACTCGTCATCTAAACGGCATCGGACGTCGGAGTGCACTCCTACGATTGCTGGCCATTAATGAGGACACAATCAACAGGTAAAGACACTGAATAGGGAATTTAGTTCACCTATGTTGTCAAAAGATACCGGTATAGCTCGAAACTGATGTATGTCTCAACGTATGATGCCGTTAGGAACTTCATAACTACTGTCGGTCGCCGGAGACCGTTATTGTCGGGAAAGACATTTAAGAGATATCATACTCAGCAGTTAACATGTTAAAGATCTATCTTTGAGTTTGGACATTTACTTCGAAAATATTTCAGAATTAAGAACTTAGTTAAGTCAAGTTAGAGATATATTAGAACAAAATATCCTAAAACATAATATGGGGATCCTAAATAAAATAAACAAACTTTTGCTATAAAAAAAAAACTACATGAAGGAAATAAAAATTAATTTTTTGAAACAATGAGGATTAAAGATGTAAGTTTGATTCTTAAAGTAAGGTGTGAATTATTAAACCTTAATTATCTTCTTCTTCAATGGACGCTACAGTCCTTGTAGAACCTGGGCCTCTACCACCACTCTCCTCCACTCCTCAAATCTTCCTCCTGATCATCCAACCATCGGTGTTTGGGTCTACCTCTTTGTCTTTTTCCTCCTGGAGTACCATTCAGCATCACCTTATTTATAAAATATATAATAAGGGTCAAACCTGAAGGGTCAAGTAATAAGAAAATGGGATTTATTTAACTATATATGTATATTTATTTATATGTAAAGATCAATCATTTTCAACAGCGACAGCTGGCTCTAGCTCACGGTCATGTGACCAGTGTCTGAATATTTTGATATTGGATTGTATAGATGTAATTTGTCATTTATGAAAATAAAAAAATATTATTATTATTATTACTTTGAAATCACTAATTACAACTATTCGCATAAAATATTTATTTGATTTTGTTTATAGGTTGGAGGAATCAAGGAAAAACTTATGGTAGCACATCGGTTAGGAATGAAAAAAGTTATAATTCCTTTCAAATGTACAAAAACTCTAGCTGACATTCCAAGCTGTGTTTTGGTAGGTTTTTTTAATTTAATATTCAGGAATTATTATCATTTCCTAATTATTTACTTTTATTATCATTTCCTTTTTATGTTGATATTGATGATATTGTTTAACATCTTATATATTATTTATAAAAGGTGTTTTTTTTATCGCAACACCATAAATTCATCAATTCTTCATCAAATGATTGAGCCCTCATATTAATGATCTTCTTTACCTTCAGGTGGAATAAATTGTCATATCCCACGAAATTTAAGGAAAAAAAGTTATGAAGAAAAAAATAAAGCAATTTTATTTGCCAATAACTAAAAAATTATCCATTTTCCTTAATTATACCAATGATAATTAGAAAGATTTATTCATAAAAATCAGACAATTATTAACAAAGATAGCGTCCATTAGTTTTGGTATACTTATTAGTTTCTTCCTCTTTAAAGATACTGCATTTCATATTTTACTACCCTTTTTTTCCTGCTGCTGTATATTTTATTATTTCTTAAAGACATGTTTTTGTTTGTACATTTTATAATATTTAGAAAATTCCATGATCGAGACTTTATTTTGGATATTGAATGAATGAATGATTTTTTTATTGAGTATTTATACAATAAGCACTATTTATACAAACAACGAAAGTATCCAAGCTCAATGAAAAAATATTTATGGCCTGGTTCTTGAAACTGTCAGCCAGAGGCTGGCCTTGGCAAAACATGTATTATGGATACAATATTATAAACTAAAACCTACTATGTTAATGTTAATAAATATAATGTAAATACTAATAAATGCAGAAATAAAATATATCAAAACTTAATATCACAATTATAAATATACAATAAAATTTTAATATATAAATACATACTAATTTTTAATATAGATATTTTAATAAAATTACATAAATAATTTTTTCGGCTTAAACATTATTCATAATTAAAATTCTTGGTATAAGGCATATCTTTATTGCCAGGCTTCTTTACAATAATAGGATAGTCGTAACCAATTTATTCCGTTCAAATGTGCAATTATTCCTCTGAATGTCAGGCTATCTTTTCCAAAATGTTTTCTCCTAAGTTCTGCCAGAACAGGACATGCGCCAAGGAAATACACAATATTTTCTATTTCATTCATATTGCATAATGAACATAATTTAATTATTTTGAATATTATCTTTCCAGTCGGTGTTTAAAAATAGGCCCTAACAAAGCAATTTGTACAAATATTTTGGTCTATTATGTGAAATGGAATATTGTAATCGACCAAGGTCAAAAAATTTATTCCTCCCGCATATAATACATAGGATCTACTCATTTCCGTATTGTTTTGCTATTTTTTCACTAGCTAAAATTTTTTGTGAATTATTTACGCAGGCCAACTGGTTTTATATATTTGTGTCTGTAAAAATTATATATTGTAGCTGTTATAGTTTAGCTAAAAAAATTTAACTTGTTTGATCAATTTGGTCCTATGACTTAACAAAACTTTTTTATACATTTATGTTTCTTGACCAAAGTGAGTTCATCTTAGAAATTAAATGAGAAACTTTACCGTGTTAATGAGCTTAATATAATAAATTCAATTAATAGGTTTTTATTCAATAAATAGACCTGTATTGTTTAATTCTGCCATTTATTATTATTTTGTCTATTTATTTATTTATTTTTTTAATGTCCAGGATGAGATAAAAATAATTACTGTGAAAACGATGGACGAAGTAATCGAGACTGCGTTTGAAGGATTGGCCAGTGCATCAAACCATAATCTTTTATCGAGCAAACTTTAGAATTTAGCCATTGTAATTTATGTAAATATTTATTTTAAACAAATTATCATGGCACAATATATATTAAACATTGTGATATTTTAGAGTTAATATTGTATTATAATGGGTAGGATGTCAAGCTCTCATTTATAGATTTAAGAAAATAAATGTAATGTTTGTTTTTTTAAATTACATTTTTGTTTAGTAAAACAATGACCATTGTTTTATATACTTACTTTTTTTTTTTGTATGATAGTTAACATAAACTGAATATGGAGTTGATTTATTCAATTCTACCTAATATTGTTGAAAATGTATTACCTTATATTTAGAAATATAATAAAACTAATTGTTCAAATGTTCTTTGAAAATAATTGTTAGAATGGTATCTGGTTTATAAGGGTTATAGTTTTTTATTTTTTTTAATGTAACTTTTCTGATAAGGTGAATTGAAACTGATTTATTTCACTTCGTTAAAATTCTGTGAATTTTAAGGATAACTATTTTATATAAAAAATTATTAATGTAACGAAAATAGACTTTCTGAAACAAGTTGAAATGATTAGTTGTATTTCATAAATAAATAAACAATTCCTTACTTCCTTTCGTAACTTTATATTAATTTTTCAGTTGTGAATTAGGAGCAGGATCTTCTGGACGCTCTTTTCTGTTCTAGTTTCCATTGATACAATTTTTCTTGAGGAACTAAGAGTTACTTTCATCTCTTCTTTTTTGCCGAGAATCCTGAATTTTCTTCTATAAAAATGAAAGAGAATGATATGCTTTGGCAACAAATTCATCTTCTGTGATATCTAAAAGAAATATTTTAAGCTGTAAAAGTGTGCTTCCTCAAAAACTCAAATTTCTGCTGTACAGTGTGCCCCCAAAAATTTTGATGGCACAATTTATGGAATGCAACTCCCTTCTAAGTATCCTGCAGTCATCTTTAGTTCATAGTTCTGCTAAACTCTTTACTTCTCTTATTTTAGCACAGCAAATATAGTTTCCTTTTAATTTAAGCCATTTGCAAAATCTAGATTATTAATCCTTTGCCTGCGGGAGCTTATTCGGGAGTTTTTACCATACGTTGCACCCTGAAATCCACTAAGACATCCATAAAAACAGACTTTTTTAACATATTTTTTGCTTAAATTTGTTTGAAATGATATTTTGAATCACCCTGTAAGATCTTAGCTTTCAAAAATGCATTTTAACGTTTTTATTCAACTTTTAAAAAACGGGATATATGTCTTCCCGGCCGCACATAGCAATGTAAAATTAGAGCGGCAATCCCGCAACACTTCATTCTCTTGCGTATTTGCTCATTTCTGAAAAGCAAAATAATTGTAAGTGATTGTAAAAATTAAATTATATTATTTCTAAAAAAGGGATACCGATGGCAGGATTTGAATTATATATTTCTTTGTATTTACAAATTTTTCTCTTACCTAAAAAAGTTCCATATTGAAAATAGCGCAGTTATAAATTTTATTATTGTACCTACATTTACTTTGTGTTTCAAACACTTATATTATATGAAATATATATTTATTTTTTTTAGGCGGATGTGAAAATGATAAAACAACTAAAGTATCATTTTAGTTCTGTATATTTTTAGACTTATTAATTTTTAATTTTGTTATATACATATAAAATTTGTTTAGTAGACAGAGATTCATTTGTGCCAAAATCAGCATTCAGTCAAGACCAAAATTTAAAAAATAAAAATAAAAAATTAACTTATTAATATTACTAATAACAAAGAAAGGACATACCTTGGGTTCAGAATAAATCTACAACTGACAGCTTGCAAATCGTTGGATTCCGAAACGACTGCACTAAGCTAATTACAGGAGACTAATGAATGCACCGACCAAGCCAAAAGTCAAATAGTGAAGGCGGGACTTGCTCTCCTACCTGTTTAAGTGGTGACAGCCCAGGCGGGAAGGCATATATTCCGGTCGCACCAGTGACCCAACTCTAAACGGGAAGGCATGTATCCGGTCCCGCAGTCAAAGGGTTAATTAGCTCTATTAGCTGATAAAATTAAAATATTTGAGTAATAGAAAAATTGGATAAAGATTTTTGTTGGAGGGCAAGCTTCTGGTTACATTATGTGTGGTGCCAGTGTTTTGTTGGTAGGACTAAGACATGGAGATTTTTTAAAGAAGGTTCATTAGACACACCAAGTTATAAGTAGCATAGAGTTTTGAACATTATTTCTCTTCAAAAAATTTTTAAATGGATAATTAATCATTACATATTTCTGTGGGATCTCAAAGTAAGTAAAATTCTATATTCTATTCTATAACATACCTAAATTGCTCATGTATGGGCCTAAACATTTTCTTTTAATTTGATTTTTGGATTCTACTATCTTAAAAAGCGCTCTATCTTTAAATCCTCAAGTCAATCAGGAGGATTATTAGTGTTTTTGTTCAATGCTAAGGTTTATAATTAAAAATAACCAAACAAATTAAATATGTGAAATATTAATAAAGAATTACACATGTTAAATAGTTCAATTTTACTTTATATATTATTATTACTTCTTAAAAGTTATGGAAGGATGGCATGCAATTAATATGTTTCATAAAGAGGGGGAAGGATAAGATTAGCAACGAATTTTGGTCATGAATCAATCAGATCTCAACATATCAAGACTAAAGACTTAATCAGATTCTTGAGTTAAATTTTCAAATAGCAGAAAAAAACAAGTTTATTATTCATTTTCTAAATTTTTTAGATATTAAATGAACTATCATTAATGTTTTAATTTATTTAAAGTTAAGTTGGGAGGGAGGACCTTGTGTCTATAATGAAGATTGAAAAAATATGAAAAGAGATGGCTATACTAAAGACTAGTAAATAAATGCTTCTTATTTGATTGAGTATTATGTAAATGAAATATATTTTCTTTGACTGGAATCACAGTCGGATCTACGGGGGGGAGGGCTTTCGGGCTGAAGCTCCCCCCCCCCCTTCCAAAATGGTAAAATATAACCATGTTTTACAGAAAAAATATTAAAAACTATCTCTTAAAGTATTCTTGTTCCTGTAATTACATTTAATAGAACTTCAGGAGCCACTTAAATACCATTTCATATAGGAAGTTAATTTCTTTTTTTTTTTTCAAATTAATTATCGTTATATGTATATGAATAAAAAATCTTTCGGGCTGAAGCCCCCCCCAAAATTAAATCCTGGATCCGCTAGTGAATGGAATAGATCCTTTAAGTAATTTTAATATATTTTTATTATAATGATCTTCAATATAAAATTTTTAAAATTAATTTGTTTTTAAATCTTAATTTATTGTAGTTGTAACTGTTTAAAAAAGAAAAATTATCTTTTTAAATGAGTGTATTAAGCGGAATGTAGTTGCTCAACCTGTTTTTTTTCATTGTACTGTAGCCGTGTAGTAATAAGCCTTGATTTAAATTGTGATTTATTTCTTATTAATTGTATTAGATGTGTTTTAATTATCAGTATCTTTTTTAAAACTACAGTGGAAGAAGAACATACTTATAGTACGGTAACAGCTATAAATACACATAAAAGGTATTTCATTTTTGTTATTTAAAATCTTGCTTGAGTCATTAATCAGTATGTTACACAAAATTGTTTTAAAGCTCAGAATCTTTATTTCATAGTTATTTCAGGACAAAGGTTATTAGTTCCAGTAAAAGCCAGGAGCTTCAATTATTGTAGATTTTTAGGTACCGTTTAAATTGATTCTGTGTGAGTTTCGCGCGCTTGTGTGTCTTTATTTAATTCATGTTTATATTCTAATATTATATTTTTAGCTTCAATATTTATATAATTTGAGGCATTTATAAACTTCATAACAGTTTTCAGAGATTTTTTAATCTTATAAATTATAGAGGCAGAAAGGGAAGATAACAGAAAAAGAACATAACATTCGGAATTTTATGTGACCGTACTATGTATGTATTATATAGTTATAACAGTAGTTATACGCCAAAAACTATTATCCCCACCACCAAAATAAATTCACACTATATACTATGCTATTATAAATAAAATCTTGTTCTACGTTATGGAGAAACTTATAAGCCTATTAGTTTCAAGCTTGGATCATAGATAGCGTCCGGTATTCCGAAAACTCTTTATACAATTGACTTATTTAAAATTCGATGAGATTTAATATAGGCGTCCGCCATTGAAAAATCTCTGCTAAGAGAAGTTTTAGTAATGAATTCGATGTACATTATCGTCCCCGTTATTCTTAATAATTAAGGAGAACGACGCCCATGTTCTGATATGTGTATATCTACATACAATTATGAGTATGATAAATAGTCAAGATTTTCAGGTATTAAGCTCATGTTACGTATGAATGCTTGTTCTAATCTTTCGGGCGCACTCGTATTCCTTTGGTTCCTTCATTACACCAGCGGATTCAGGATTTAATTTTAGGAGGGGGGGCTTCAGCCCGATAGCTTTTTTTTTCATAAAAATAACGGTAATTACTTCGGAAAAAAAGAAAGAAACTAACTACCTATATGAAATGGTGTTTAAGTGATTCCTAAAGTCCTTTTAAATGTAATTAAATGAACAATAATACTTTACGAGATAATTTTTTAATATTTTTTTCCATAAAACATGGTTATATTTTACCATTTTGGGGAGAGGGCTTCAGACCGAAAGTCCCCTCTCCCCCCCCCCCCCCCCCCCGAAGATCCTACATACAATTATGAGTATGATAAGTAGTCAGGATTTTCAGTTATTAAGCTTATGTTACGTATATAAGCCAGTTCTAATCTTTCGGGTGCGCTCGTATTCCTTTTGTTTCTCCATTGCAACCACTAGCGGATTCAGGATTTAATTTTGGGGGGGGAGGACTTCAGCCCGAAAGCTTTTTTTTCTATAAAAATAACGATAATTACTTTGGAAAAGGTGATTCCTAAATCCTTTTAAATGTAATTAAATGAACAATAATACTTTACGAGATAATTTTTAAATATTTTTTTCCATAAAACATGGTTATATTTTACCATTTTGGGGGAGAGCTTCAGCCACAAAGCTCCCCCGTAGATCCACCCGTGATTATAAGTATTATCCGTTATGTTCAAAAGTCCCCTGTAAATGCTTTTAACAATGATAAACTGTATGTTCATTTAAAGTAAATTTCATCTTGTTTGCAATGGAGAAATTATTAATTACTGAAATGAAATATTTCCATAGTTATTACTTTCCATTCAACAAAAAACACGACTTACTTAAAAACCACAAAACTTGGATTTGTTATTTTTCTGCTGTAAACTGTCCCATTGTTTATATGAACTTTTTTTTTTGTAGCTCTTGAGGTTGGCTACCACTCCTATAAAAATTTCCTTCTATTTATGGGACACTCTGTATATATATATATATATATATATATATATATATATATATATATATATATATATACCTAATTATATTTTGGCAAACGAAACCGGTCTCGCCTCGATATACTCCTATACACTTAAAATTCATTTCGACTATATTTTGAAAGTGCTGGAGATGCCGAGTTTTCGTTTGCCACATATACTAGC